CATTCCAAAAAACCGTGTTTTATTGTTTCCTTATCAGTTCCACAGTTACATGCCGAGGACTGTGCTAAGACATGAGTGAAAAGAGGTGCATTTAACTGAGGAAAATCTAGTCTACAGCGTGTATGGTGAATTTCAAGAGAACGATCTTGCACTAGAGGAATATGAAAAGGTTGAACATATTGAGAAGTTAGGTAACATTTAAAGTCTTTTAGACGGTGCAATTGTTTAGCATTGTCGTGCAGCATATTCCACTGTTGACTACCTTCACGTATAAATGTTTTTTCATTTTTCAAGAAGAGCACGATCTCTGAGAAAAATAGGAGCATTTTTAGTAGCAGAGCTTCTGGTGTTACAGGAATGGTGATTGCGATTAGAACACAACTCAGTAAGATAAGAAGGCATTCTACAATGCATAATTTTGTGAAATAAACACATGCAGCGTACATATAAAAGTTGTGAAATAGAGAGCCATCCAAGATCTAGAAGAATTTTACTCAGAGATGTCCCTCGCATCGCACCCGAAGCAGCAAGACCTGCTTGATACTGAATTTGGTTCAAGCGAATGATATTTGTAGTACTTTTCCCCCCCATAGATAAGAAGTTCGTAGTTAATAACACTAAGAACAAACGCATGGTAGACGGAGACCAAGGTTTGACGGGAAACACGTCTGCTCAAATATTTCATTGAACCGACTACGTGCAGTAGTTTAGTGCGAATATTATTGATATGAGGCAACCAGTCTAACCTTGATTTCAACGTCACACCCCAGTGAACGTGTTTCCCAACATATTCTAGTTCTATATTATCAATAAACAAGGAAGAAGCAGGAATTAGGGTTTTATCATGGAAAAATAACATGGTGACGTGACATACTTATTAATATTTAGTGGTAGAGACCACTGCTTAGACCAAAGATTGATTCTGTCCAAATCATCGTTCATAGCAGAGACAGCTCTCCCTAAGTCATCCGCTTCAACATACAGTGATACGTCATCAGCAAACAATTTACAGGTAGAAGTTAATCCCAGGGGAAGATCATCGATAAATATTAAAAAGAGGAGAGGACCCAGGACTGATCCCTGTGGAACACCACAAGAAACAGGCAGGGAATCCAAAGTAGTACCATCAAACATAGTAACTATTTGTCTGTTCGTTAGATAGCTTCTAAACCAATGGATAAGATCATTCGGAATACCTTTATATTGTAGTTTCAGGAGAGGCCCGACATGAGACACCTTGTCAAATGCTTTAGAAAATTCTAAAAAAGCCGCTAACACTGCCCATGTAACAATCTCGACTTTAAAAAACGCGTTTACGAACGGCGTTTATACAGTATTTTACAACAAAGTTTTTCTAGTGAAATAAATGAACATTAATTATTTACTAAAGTTGTACGAACCACGCTGCAGATATTTAGATTATCGAGAGTCATAACGTTAGGTGTACGGAATTTAATTCAACGTTTAAGAAAAAAAGACTAATACAACCGTTATCATTAGTATCCGTCTCGCGTGGAATGGTGTCATGATAGATTTTTACGACTTTTTTAATTAAATTTTTACGACAATATAAGAAAAAAATCAGTATTTAACATACAAATGCATACAGGCACGGCTATCACATCAAGTTTTGTGGTACAAATAATCATACTTGTAGCGATAGGTTTCGGCTTAATAATTTATGTTCGAAAATCCATCGGATGTATACCAAAAATTATCTGATATACTTCAGATTATCAGCACCTAACTATTATTCACAGTATCATTATCATGCATTTTTGCATATTGGCATATCGTTTAATCTAAATGGTGAGCGACAGCTTGAACTAATGCCATAGAAAACTCTCTTTCTCTAGGTGATTAAGCACTGGAAAGTAAAAATAATTTACATCAGCAACGAAAGCAAAACAACGATCATATCAGACCGCAACATTCGGGTATGAACGAATCTACTCAGCTGAACGAAAGCACAATAATGACTTTCCTTTCCTACTTCGGTACAGCATTGTCAAGTACGGCGAATGTTAGGCATTCACCACAGTCAATCTGTCTAAACTTTATTTATTTTAATAAAAACTCGTAAGATAAATTCTTCAATGGATGCAAGAGGTATTACCCAGATGTACATTTTCTACACAGGTTGTGGCCATAAAAACGAAACACAATACAATAAACCAATTTGATCAGATCCTCGTAAGCTGAGACTTTACTCTTTCGAACAACATATTCGAAAAGTTAGTCACTAACCAATAGTGTCGCCCAGCCTTTATCCAAATTCTTGCAACTTTTAAGTTTACAATCACATCCCCTCTCACATACATGGTAAAATCATGTTGCACAATGCAATTTATCATATCCCTCATGAATGGTATATACAAATATTCATATATTTCCTATCCCCCAAGCCAAGAACACAAAGCTCACTTCAAACATGGATGATGACATTATCATCAACGATCTCATCCGTCATATAACCAATGAATGATTCCTACAATAATTAGACTCAAATATCTCGTATCTTCAAAGTTCAAAAGTGAAACCTACCTTCGAAAGGTGACGAGCAACTAGCTCATTACCTTCCGTTATATTTAAAGAAATAGCAATNAATATTCATATATTTCCTATCCCCCAAGCCAAGAACACAAAGCTCACTTCAAACATGGATGATGACATTATCATCAACGATCTCATCCGTCATATAACCAATGAATGATTCCTACAATAATTAGACTCAAATATCTCGTATCTTCAAAGTTCAAAAGTGAAACCTACCTTCGAAAGGTGACGAGCAACTAGCTCATTACCTTCCGTTATATTTAAAGAAATAGCAATGAGAGAATCTGCGAGTCATTAAGATGACTACTAAAATTATTATTTAACAATTTTTCTATAGACCAATTCACATTTTGAGACCTTCGCAAGTATAAAGACAAATTTATTGTAAGTATTTACTTTCTACATGGATTTATTGTGAGTGCACTAGTTTGAAGATACCTATAATTTGCATGTGTTTATCGATGTATTTATTTAACTTCAATAAGTTTCTATTTACAGTAAAAAGTTCACACAAAGACTTTACTCTTCCTCATCACTACACTCACTATCAGTATCTAGCAAATCTGGTTCAATTTCATTTTCAACATATTCATCTGCATAAATGCACTCTCAATAAATAGGAAAATGTACCTACTTTCTATTTTTTGATTTCCCGAATGAAACTCAGGCATCTCTAATCCGAATTTTTTAAACGCTTGGGCCTGAGAAACTAAACAGACCTGAAATAAAGATTGCCACGATGATCAACGTAGTCGATAACCTATGAATCAACCTTTTTTTCTCTATTCTGTCCTTAAGTTTTCCCTGCAGATGCGTCTCAGGAAAATGGCTGTATCTCCGACCCCTTAAGAGATATGGACCTCATTCTTTCAGATCTAGGAACAGGACGCCTTTTACCACTAGAGTAATCGAAAAAAAGTTTTATTGTCGACTAATTTTGAGGTACTACGGGTTTTACCGGATGAGGTCTGCCTGGAAAACCTCTTCGGAAAAATTTACCTTCTATATGAATAAACGTCCCACGAGCTGCTCTTTTCGCCGGTGAAAACTGCAGGTCTCTAGGTCTTTTCGTTCCGGAGTTATAAGCGTTTTGTTCATTCATCTTATTTTCAGAAATGGACAATAGATTTACAAATCTTTCTCGTGACTCACCAGGCACACTTGCAACTTGTGCTACGATACGTGGAGAAAGCGGAAATGTTTTGTGTACTTTTCTGTTATATTTCATCGATAAACCTATCAGATCGATTTCTGCCGCCTATTCGGATTTAAAAGCACAGATGGTTTTTAAGATCCATCTCCGCAGTCTGTCTGTTATTGTAATTAAAATGATTGTATTAATCTCTGAGACGAAAATTCAATTAAGTTTCGTTTTACATATAATCTCTTAGATCTACGGCATAACAAGACTCGAATCGAAAATCTGGCTTGAGAAAAATTAATGAATTCGTTTTCTAAATTATATTTAATGAGATAACTATGAGCAGCCGTGCGATTCAATCACTATTTCAAATAAAAATTAAGTTTTAGCATTCTTTCTTAAAGGACTTTTTAGAGATCTAATGATTAACTGTAAATTGCTTGATTATATAAATTGTATTTGACAAGAATTGGATTGTTTGGAACCGATTTCTATTTATTCAAGCTTTTTTCATTGTGTTCAGCGATGGAACGGTCTTGTGAAATTGGTGTCAAATTTATTAATGATACCTACTATTTGATGATTGTTATTTTTTGCAATAAATTTAATTGATTTGTTATTTAGTTGTTCATCAACTAATCTTCCATTCAATGTAATCTGTCTCTACTTCTCTATATAATCACTTTTCTCATGTTTAAACATGGATTCTATCTACACAGAATTTATACTAATATCTTCATAAGCTATGAGAAGCGATGATTAAAATAATCATGACTTTATATTGTTATTGTCTACTGATGATATTTAACACAACTTATCGCTTGTGTTGTTGGTCAGAGTTTTCTATTTCTCTTTTTTCTTCTATGAATATGTTCAACTGTCATGTTTAATCTGTCTACGCGTTCTATTACAATTAATTAGTTTGACCATTAGGTGTATCCTTGTTGACAAAACTTCCTGGAAAGAGCTCGACTTAAGTAAACGTTAAAAAAAAAAGAGATAGAAGATACGTGTGTTCTATTTTTGTCGATAGAATTGGGTGTCGATTTTTAACATTGACTTGCACTGTTCTAATTCTTTTTGTTATTCTTTTTGAACGATTTCCGGCTATTTCTTTTGTGCACTTACTATTTCCTTCGTCGTATTTTTATTTGGACTAAATAACTTCGTAACATCTCTTATTTTTTTTCTAACTAAATTTCATTAATTTATGGATGCTAAATGAATTATAATGCCACATGTCGTACAAACGAATAACACCGTATACAGCAATCATACATTGCAAAAAAGACATTACACTCTGATGGTTCCTTCTCCACCCATATCACCACCTCTACCGCCAATTGAAAATCAAGTACCACCAATACCGCCTCGTTCAAGACATCCATCACGCCAAGAACAAACAACCTTATCACATCAACAAAAGACAACAAAAACACGTAATTTCTTGAAACTCGATGAACTACCATCTCCAGCTCGTGAATGGCAATTATTAGAATACATTAGTGACGGAACATATGGAGAAGTTTTTAGAGTATGTGTTATTTTAAGTAATATTTATAATCATTCATACTTGCAGATGAGTTCCTAATAGTTAAATAAGTTTACTAGGATCAGACGATACCAGCGTTACCTAATTTTGGCTAAATGTTCATATTTCAGGCTAGAAATATACGCACTGGTGAGTATGCCGCTGTAAAAATAATGAATCCGACCAATGAAGTAATGGAAGAAATTGAACAAGAATATCGTGTTTTATTAGAATTATCTACACATTCAAATATTTGTCGATTTTATGGTGCTTATTACAAACGTTTACAGCCCGTATTAGATCAAAATGTTTCGTTCAATGAGTTATCGTCGTCTACGACGACTCAAAATGATCAGGATTTGTATAGTATGAATAGTTGTGTTAATAATACAATCCAATTTGATCAATTATGGCTTGTCATGGAATTATGTACAAGCGGCAGTGTTACTGATCTAGCTAAATCATTATTGAAAGCGAATCAACGCCTGGATGAATGTATTATTGCATATATCTTACGTGAAACACTAAAAGCCTTACATCATTTGCACACTCACCAAATTATTCATCGAGATGTTAAAGGACACAATATACTCATTACACATGATGGACACATAAAATTAATAGATTTTGGAGTATCAGCTTATGTGAATATAAGCAACGGAAGACGAAATACAAGTGTTGGTACACCATTTTTCATGGCACCAGAAGTTATTGCCTGTGAAAGACAAATGGAATATGATTATGATACGAGAGCCGATGTATGGAGTACAGGCATTACAGCTATAGAAATTGCTGAAGGTAAAAACATCACTTTTTTGGATTATTTTAACGCATTTTCTCGATATTGCGTTTTTATCCTATCAAAATATTTTTCTCATTTAGGTGAGCCACCATTAGCAGAATTACATCCCATGAGAGCTCTGTTTACGATACCACGTAGTCCACCACCAACACTCCATTATCCAAATGAATGGTCTATCGAATACAATGATTTTATTCGACAATGTCTAATTAAAGATTTTGAAACACGCCCGACTGCAGCACAATTACTCAATCATCTGTTCATCACAAAAATATCATCTGATGAGTTAGAATTGCGTCGTCATATTGTCTATTTGATACAAAAATATAAGCCATGTTATGATTTGTGTGCGAAAAAGTCATGTCGAGAAACATGTGGTGTTAAAAACGGGCATATACGAGGGAAACTCGATACATTTACACCTTTACAACAGCAACCAACGCCACCAGTGTCTACTTCATTTTATTACGCTCAGTCAGATCATTTGTCAAATAAAATTGAGCAATCGTCGCAACATCAGATTATTAAAAGATCTTATCAACCCCCACATCAATTAGAACAACAACACATAAAACGACTGGCACCTCCACCACCTGAAAACGGAGAAAATCATTCACCATACAATGGAATTGTGCAAAAATCGGCACCTTTTTACAAATCAAAAAGAAAATCACAGTCACGTCGAGATCAACAACAATACTCCAAAGTAATAGTATCACAACGTCCAGTACAAGTATGAAATCTTTAAATATGTTTATATTACTAAATCCAAATATCTAAAATAATTGTTCTTTTAGCCCATTATTAATGGAAGTTCAAATGATATCCATTACCCAACGCAAATCGGTTTGATTGATATTATTCATCAATCGAATCCATCGCATGAATCTCATCCAACATTTTATTTACATGAAAATAATTTAATCACAAAAGATACGATCGTTCATCATCCTTCACCAAAAAAAGATAATCAGAAAATGACAAATGTTTATAATTCAACCTATGATTCGAATTATCCGATTAATTCATCCAATACTTTTGTTCAACCGCCTCTATTATCATCATTAACTTGGACAACATCAGCCACTGATGATCTAGCACAATTGGAAACATTTGATGAACAAAGTATCATTACTTGTATGTATAATCGATTTTTATCAAATCAAATTTATACATATATCGGCGATATTCTTGTTGTACGTAAGAAATAATTATAATCTATTACATCAATTAGTTTGAATTAACTTACGCATTTGTTTATTTTTTATAGGCTGTTAATCCTTTTCGATCATTACCAATCTATGGAAAAGATATGATGTTACGTTATCGTTCAAGTATTAAATCTGAACAACCACCTCATATTTATGCATTAGCTGATTTTACATATCAGGCAATGTTACATAATCTTGAAAATCAATGTATCGTTATATCAGGCGAAAGTGGATCAGGTAAATTAAATTTTACAAAAAAAATTTTCAAATTTTTTTAAATTTGTAATTTTTTAAAAAATTTAGGAAAAACTCAATCGGCTAATTTTATTGTCAAACAGTTAACATTTCTTGGTGGTGCGCCAAATAAATCATTACAAGAAAAAATTTTACAAATAAATCCATTAATTGAAGCATTTGGAAATGCTAAAACAATTATTAATGATAATTCATCTCGTTTTGGAAAATATCTAGAAATGTTATTTACAAAAAATGGACGTGTTACAGGTGCATGTTTATCTGAATATTTATTAGAAAAAACACGTGTTGTTAATCAAGGTCAAGCAGAAAGAAATTTTCATATATTCTATTATTTATATTATGGTTTGGCATCTTCGTCAACTACGATGAATACAGATAATGAAAATACTTATTTTTTATCAACAAATCAAACATATCGTTATTTGAGTACAGGATTATTAGATGATATCGATTTTTCAAACGGATTTAAATCAAAATTTTTAGCAATTGAAAAATGTTTTGAAATAATTGGATTTAAATATGATGAAGTTCGATCAATTTATCGTATATTAGCTGGATTATTACATTTGGGTAAGATGATGACGATAATGATTAGTTTTTAAAAGTATTCTGAACATTATATGATATTCATAATTATTTTGCTTTGTTTTTCTTAGGTAATCTTTGTTTTCATCAAAATGAAGGACATTTTATTGATGGAAAAACCTGTTTAACCGATAAACATTTATTAAATATTGTTAGTCAACTATTTGGTCTCGATGTAAATGAATTTGATTTAGCATTGACTACATGTAATATCGTTACGCGAGGTGAAACAATTTCTCGATCAACAACATTGCAAGAAAGTCAATCAACTAGAGATGCAATGGCTAAAGCATTATATAATCGTCTATTCTCATGGATTGTTAATAAAATATCAGCTCTATTAGCTCCTACACCATCATCATCGTCAGCAGAAGCAGCAACGGTTAAAACAACAAAATCAACTACTCACAATGATGATCTATTTGTATACAATGAAAATTGTAATAATAATAATAATAATAATGATGATAGTGAAGTAGATGAACAGAATAGTGTTAGTGATGATGCTGAATCAACATGTTACATTAAATATGATAATAATTGTTCATTATTAAAAACATTTGCTGGCCAACACACAATAGATGAACCACCATTAATTACACGTTATGCGATGCGTCAAACTCTTGATGAACTTAAATGTGCGACAAAACACATTATACATACAGATGATATTTATTATTTTTCACCAATTTCTAGTGAAAATTTAAATTGTAATAACAATAATAATACAACTGTTACAACTACAACAAGTTATTCATCTAAGGCAGCAACACCATCACCACAAAAAACAAAAGTCATACTCACATCAAATCATGAAGATACAACGGTTAAAAATTTAATTGAAAATTGGTCAAAAAATAGTAATCGTGCCTCATCATCATCAAATTGGATTCAAATTGCTGAAAAGAAACAATCATTGATGAAACCAACTGTCATTAATGGAAATGGTTTTCATGGTCATTTTAATGGAAGTAATGGTTTAATTAAAACTAATGGAAAAACTACAAGTGAAATAAATTTGGCTATGAGAAAAAAAACTGTTGAAAACAATACAAAACATTATCTATCTTCAAATAATATATCAGGACCATTATTATATGATACAAAAGTTAATAAAAAACAAAATGAAATAAAATTAGAAAAATTTGTTCAAAATAATAATAATAATTCTAATAAAGCAACAACTGATGAAGACAATAAGGCATTTAAAATAGCTATTCTAGATATATTTGGTTTTGAAAATTTTTCAACAAATTCATTTGAACAATTATGTATTAATATTGCTAATGAACAAATTCAATATTATTTTAATCAACACGTATTTGCATGGGAAAAACAAGAGTATATAAATGAAAATTTAAATATAATGTCTATATCATCAAAAATGGACTTTACATTCTATGATAATCGACCCTTATTAGATATGTTTTTGAATAAACCAGTAAGTAATAGAAACAATTATTATTCAATTTATTTTAATTAATTTTCTTTTTCTTTCACTTCGAATAGGTTGGTATATTAGCTTTAATTGATGAAGAGAGTCGATTTCCAAAAGCAACTGATTATACACTTGTTGATAAATTAAATTCAAATATGCATTCAACATCATATATACGTTCAAAATCAAGTTTTTCAGCCAGTTCTCAACATTCAGCGTCCTCATCATCATCTACTTTACAATCAATTCCATCATTTTCTATCATACATTTTGCTGGTCAAGTACAATATGATGCTCGAGGATTTTTAGAAAAAAATCGTGATTATTTAGCACCAGAAATTATTCAAGTATTACGACAATCTGATGTACAACTTGTTAGTTCATTATTTCAATTACCATTAACAAAAACAGGTACTTTGGCTGAAAGTTCAGCAGTAGGGAGTGAAACGAATGGTGTTAGTAGTTGTACAACATCATTTTTGGGATTAGAAACACCAAATGGTGGTGATGATATTCAAATTGTTCCAAAAACATTGATACCAATGAGTGCTAGTCATAATCGTGTACAAGCCACCGTTAGTACCTATTTTCGATATTCATTAATGGATCTATTATCAAAAATGGTTAGTGGAGCGCCACGATTTGTCCGATGTTTTAAGCCAAATAATGATCGTGTACCCGGTTATTTTGATGCTCAAAAAGTTTTACAACAATTAAAATATAGTGGAATATTAGCAGGTTAGTAAGACATATTTCAATATTATGAAATATAATATTAAATCTTCTTTTTTAAAAATATTTTTAGCAACAAAAATACGTCGTTACGGTTTTTCACATCGTATACCATTTGCAAATTTTATTCAACGTTATTCTCTACTCGTCTATCCAGCCACAATCGAATTACCTGTATGTCGAGAAAGTTGTGAAAATATTCTACATGAATTAAAATTGCATAATTGGGTAATAGGTACGTAGAATTTTTGGTAACTATCTATCTCAAAAGTTTATATGATTGATTTTTTATGTGTACTTTTAGGTAAAACAAAAGTATTTTTAAAATATTATCATGCTGAACAATTAACACGTATGTATTCTGATATGGTAAAAGCCGTTGTAACAATTCAATCGTATGTACGTATGAAACAAGCAAAAAATAATTTAAAAAAACGAAAACAAAAATATCAACACGAATCACTTGTAAAAGAATTACGTCAACAAAAAAAATTTAATGAACAACATGATTTATTACAATCATCAGTAGGTTGAAAGAATATCAAAATAATTAGAATTTCTAATTTATTATAAAAATTACACTACGATATTTTCTCTTCCTAGGAATCAGTCATCAATTCACATGCTGTTTGTGAATACGTATCAATTCATGATGAAAAATTAACTGATGCTCAGCGACGTCAACTAGTGTTAGACAATGATCGTTTTCATTCTGCTGTTTTACGAATACAATCGTGTTTTCGTGGATATTTACAACGAAATAAATATTATCGAAAAGAAAATATTCATGCAGCCATTATCATTCAAAAAACATATCGTATGCATGTTGTACGTAAAGCATTCAATGAATTACTGATGGATAAACAACGTTTACAAACACAAATATTATGCTTTTTACAACAAATTGAGCTGATTAATAGTGAATTTTATTCAAAAATTGTTAAAAGTAATTTTAATGCGATGGTGAAATCAAACAATAACAATAATAAAATATATGGAAACAATTTTTTTCCACCACCACCATCCTCACCGTTGTTTTCTCAATTGAGATTATTTTCTGGCACAATATCAGATAGAGATAATGACAATAGTTCATCTTCCAATGTTATAAAAGATTCTCAATATATCAAATTTCAACAGACGTCACAAATAAGTACACTAAAACAGAAACAAGATATGGATTATGAAGAGAAATCACACGGTCCTATGTTAATGACTAGCAACGGTCAACATGCTATAAATCATGCTCCGAAATATCCCCCTGTGACTTCGGTTGTGCGTAATACAACTGAAAATCGTATAACGTCGCCGATATTGATTAATCAACGTCAAACAGAAAATGATTCGACAGTTGGATATCATGCACGATCATCAATGCCAATATCTAATTTTGTTCAAGTCCGAGAAAAATTTGTTCGAGCAGCAAATGCTATCTCACCTCATTTTATTCCCTCGTCACGTAATATCCCTCTATCACCGTTACCAATTCTTCAAACACCATCAAATTCTGTATCATCACCGAAGTTAAATAATGTGTATATCCATGGTGGTGATATGCCTCGTAATGGACATGCATCTGTTGCCGTTCTAGCAGCTGTTCAAGAATACCAACGTCAACATATTCAAGGAAATAATTCGAACAAACGATTTCTTCAACAACATCATCATTTAGCTCCACGTTCAAATAATGTTGGTGGAGCTAATATTCTCAGGCATCAATTCATATCACAACATCATCCACGTTTGCCATTAGTGAAACCTCTATCCATGTCACATACTCATCTCAATCACATTCAACAATCAAATATTCGTCATATATCTACATATCAGCCTCAAACTACAACAACAATTTATTCATGTCCAACAGACTATTCTACACATTCTCAAGAAAAAGTCACTGAGACTTCAACGCATTGTACTGATACACTACCCCGTTTTTCATTTCGTGTACTATTACGAAAAACTGGACAAGATTTGAGTAGTGGACAAACATTAAGCAAAAAGAAAATTCTCGAAACACAGCAAGTCGATTTTCGTGGAGTATTAAAACCAAGACAAGTCGATCAACCTCATATATTATCAAAATCCAATAGTAGCAACAATGACGCGGATTATTATCATCATAAAGACGATAAAAATAAACTCCTATTGAATAATTTATCCGACTTGTAGTTTTAGTTGAATGTCTAGTGGTACATGAAACATTTTTTCTTTGTATATAATGCGAAGTAGTTAACTACTTCATATCAATCGAAGAAAAGATACTTCGATACGACATTTAGCTTCAGTGCCATATTTGAAGCTGTAAACTTTTGTGATTACGGACTTATTTAACAGAACTACAGACAGAGAATAGATGAAACCGTAAAGGTTTAACTGCGTTGAGACATTTTAACACTTTGACACTTCTTTTTGAGACACTTTGAAACAAAAACTTTCTAAAGATATACTTTTTTTGTCAGAGAATCTTAGTCAAGCTCACTGGACTATAAAGCAATCAGTCGTTTACACTTTAATACATATCTGTTTTGTGTTACATTGTCGTTTTATAAATAATGGTGCTATCTTACTTTTTGTAAAAGCCAACGATAAATGACGCTTTAAATCGGAATCTTCTGAATTTTACTCTAGTAGTCTCTTCTCCCACACGTTCTAGAATACTATTACAGCGGACTTTTTCAAATTGTCTCGACTTTGAAAATATTGAAGCTCCTTTAGTCACTCATCTAATATTACTTATCAACTAGTTATTTCCATTTTTTATTTGTTATCTAACTTTTATGCCATTTTTTGACCTCTTTTTTAAAAAAAAATTTATGTTATATATTCGACACAATATTTGATTTGCTTTAATGAAATAAAATTATATAGTTTATTGCATTATGTGGTACCACCTAACGAAAAGACTCTTGAAGTAATACTCATTGTTAAAATAAACAAAAATTAATAATCGGTAAAAATATAAAGTGCAAACATCTGTCGTTTACCTATATCACTGTCGCTTAAGACTTATGTGACGTTTGTCTATCGTATTATCTTTCATTTTTAGCTAAAATCAAGAATAATAGATCATTGTAGTTTATAGCTCTTTTACAGTTCACCATATGAGCAAAATAAAACTGTTGGCTAAAACTAGATTCTAAATCTAAGCAGATAACTAAAGTTCTTAGTAAATGCGAGATATACTAAAAGTGAAAATAGCTAAATTAAACTGCTATATTAACAGAAAAGATATTAATATCAGCAATGCGAAAGGTCAACAATGATCGATAAAAAAATTATTTCTAATAAATTGACAATAATGACCTTTTCACTATTTATCCGTCTTGGTATTTGTGCAGAATTTTAGAATTTTATACTAAATATATCAAACTGTTCTTCATAAAAAGATATGATACTAAAACTAAAGACTAACTACTGCGGAATATTATTGAGCTAGTTTAAAAATGAAAATTACCGTGTATCATCAAAATTTCAGAATAGATAGACTAGTGCGTCAAAACAATATTGAAAATAATCTTCTAAGGCGTTACTAAATTCCTATCGCATTATAACGCATTAATCTGTAACGCATTGCAATGCGTTATGCATGTTCTAATTCATTGTAACGCTATAGAAGTTCTTCACACGTTTCAACGACATAAATTTATTGCATTACAATACATTAACTGGTCAGGTGCTGTAACGCTATACGTGACTAATACGTGACGTTAATACCTATCGTGTTATACCGAGTTCCGTTTTCTTATCTCATTGCAATGAGATAGAAAAAAATAATGCATTGTAATCTATTAGATATTAACTCGTTACAATACGATATGCATTATCTAATGAATTATAACGCTATAAAAGATTTTTCCAAATTGATGACATTATAATTAAATAAAACATCTAAGGTATTATAACGCATTAATTTCTAACGCATTGTATTGAAGTAGAAAGCGCAAACGCGTTATAATACATTAGAATCTAACATATTATAAGGCAGTAGACAAATCTAATTGCGTTGTAACGAGATAATAAATTGAAACGCATTATAATGCTATAAATTTATAGAGTTGTAATGCAATGAAAATTTTTATCCACTTACAACGCCATAAATTCCTGAAAAATAACTTTGCAACGCATTATAACACGATGAGCTACGTCTATTGCACTGTAATGAGGAAAATCTAATACCATAATTTAAGAAAAAGCATGTTTTATAGCGTGATAACGCTATAAATAGAGAAAAAAAGATCCTGTGGGAGTATGTTGGAAAAACCCAAAATTATGGATTTCTAGAGAATCTCTATTAAAGCCAAAAGCATGATCCAAATATGTCATTCATGTCAAAATATACTGTTTCATATATAAAATATGCACTTAAAGTTTAACTTCCTTTGACTTATGACTGAACATTGACAACTGAATACTGATTTCATCGAATATATTGCAACAGTTTTAATCTGCTTTTATACATGAGTAAAATAGACCCAGATAAGATTATAGAAAAGTGTATAATTAATTGACACAGCAGCATGTAATGAGATCATATTTTGTTATTATCGACATTTATTTATCCATATGTCTTTATATTTCTCTATCTGTACACAAAAGAGGAGAAAAAAAAAACCAACGGATGTATGTTTAATAATATGCTTATTATTCTTAATATAGTATTGAATCGTTTCTATTCTATTTATATTAAAAAAGATTCCAACTATCAATTAAAAAAAATTAAATAAGAACTACGTATAGATTCCTAAAACATGAATATCTGCAACTGTTATCAAACAGAAGAAGAAGAAAAAAAAAGATTTTTACACAGACAAATAAACATTTCCACCACTATTTTTTAAGCTGTTTTATTTCTTCTTCTTCTTCTTTCTTCTTGCTTCTTCTCTTTTTTGTACATGAAAAAAGAGAAGAGAAAATCAGTTAAAACACACATCACTATTATAGTCATCATCATTAATATAATGACACAATATTCTCATAATATATAGAGTGAGAATATGAATAATAGAAAAGGATCTGACAAATTGTAAAAGAAATATACATCTACAATAAGTTTTTTTAAGTATAATAAAAAACTTTCATTTTTTTTTATACTATTGTTCATAAAATAAGACATACATATACTGTCTCATTTCTTTCAAGATTCAAATTTATATTGATATAGTTCATTGAAGTTGAAATTAATATTTTACAAATGTTAAAACTATTTTGTTTAATTATTTTTTGTTTCAACGTAATGACATATGTACTATGTTTATTAAATGGTAAGTAAATAATTTTAGGTTATATTTATTTGTTAGACGTTTAAAAAGTTTGCAACTATAAATGAGATGTCTTGAATCGAACTTGTTTTTCATAGAATCTTACAAGAAAAAAATGCTGTCAGTAGAGAGAACTAAGGAAAAAGATTTTTTAATTCCCATTCCGTTGCGACATACTAAATCAACTATTTGAGTAAAATATGATTTGTGACAACTCCAATTAAACACAATAACAATGATTCAATTAATCATATTGTTTTTTTTTTTGTCACAATTCTTATTTTTGTATAAGATGAGAGAAAAAAATATTAGTACATTGAAAATACAAATTGCACTATTCACTTTGTGTTTACTATTTTTCTTTGAGAAAGATGTATACTTAGTACAATGATAGAAATTTTTACCTAGGTTTCTGAAGTATCTAATTATGAATAGATGCAGTAGATGCATAAAAATAACAGTTTTTATCAACTCGAATATTCGTTTTTTCAATGTCAAAGTAGTATATAATGAGACATTTCCAATAATAGATAATAAACTATGAATTCATGTTTACCATAAAGAAAGATGAATAGAGAAACTAAAAACATTGATTCACAAAATGTGATGGTGTTGAGATGAGAGAATTTTTTCTAAGAAGTTTTCTTTAATAGATGATACTATTTTTAAGTTGATAAATTTTAAATTTTATTCATAATATTTATTTTTGTAAAGAATAGATAATTTTATATATCTTGGTCATTCATGGTTATTTAATTTATTGTTTAAATGACACAATATCACCACTTTTTTATGTAATCTATATTACAGGAAAAACGTCAGTCTTTTACTATCTGTCTCATATTTATTAATCCGGTGCGAAGCAATACCGCATTATAGTAATAAACTACGTGCGTTTTTCCTTTCTAGATCGAAAAAGTATTATTTTCTGTAACGACTTTCTCGGGAACTAGAAGGGATACAGTAAAATTTTAAACGCGCATAGGGAACTGTGTCTGAATTAATAAATAAGCTATTTTCAGTTTTTGTGGATGTTCCAGTGGAGAGTTAGAACGTTTGAAAGTACGTGATTTGGACGTACGGGACTTTCAAAAAAACCCGATAATTAATCTGAGTCATGTGCAGGTGTATTCATAAGAGACTAGCGTATTTAGCTGCTTCGCACCGCATTTGCAAATCTCGCTGGCGTGATTGCCGACTAGTTTTATTGGAAGACGGGTGAAAAACGTCTTGTTCTAAGACGTTATAGATACAGGGATCATTGATTTGTTTTGCATCCAGCATTTGTATACAAAAAATCGAATCAGGTATATACTTGTACTGGAAAACAGTCTAAGAACAACATGTATAAGGAGATTCCAGGCATTGTTATGGCCTATCTAATCGAAATATTAACTTGATTTCAGGCTATAATCAGTTTTTGATCGATAGAATTGTTATGCTAACAGAAAATCTAACGAGGGAATCTCGGCAAGTGATTCATGCCCATATCGCTCATTGTTATTTCGCCCATCAATAGAACTAGTAGTAGTAAGAAAACGTCCAAATGCTGATGTACCCATGTGGCTTGATTATGAAGTCATGAGTCATTTTTGCATGATGCATGAGCGTTGCACTGATTAAAAGGTTTTTTTGTTTTTCTCGTATCTTAATAACGAAATGACATCTAAAACTAAAACTTTTGACTGAGATATGCGTTTGCTATGACTAGGTGAACGAAAAATTTCATATCTATATTATTAGTACAAAAGGATAAATCAAGCTTTTTCAGATCTTGCTACTCCCTTTGGTTCTGTGGAATGAATAAAATTGTTTGTACTGGATTTATTTACTTGTTTTGCTTATGAACTATTTTTGTTTAAACATCGTTTCTGAGTATAAGTTAAAAAAGGAGTATAAGGACACTCCGAAACGCTGAATAAGAAAAAATTGTTTTATGAGTAGAACAAAGAAAAATACACTGAACAGAGCTTGATTGATTCTTTTGCACTAATAGTACAAATGCGAAAGTTTCCGGTCACTACGCTCTATAAGATTGCTGTAACCTGATTCTAGTACTTCGTTCATCTAAAGTTATTTTCAAGAAAGATGTCATTTCATTATTTAATATGACATTTGAGCCAGTGACGCAATTAGGGCTTTTTGATCCTTGAGCGAATTTCTATTGAGGCGCAAGAAACATTTATCTAGTGATCGTCTAAAACGAGTGCAATAAGCAGTTAATCAAGATTAAAATGCGTGATCTCAGTTTTTTCTGAAGTTGTGAAAAAACAATTTTTCTCTCATACAAAATTCCATCTCATAGTGTGGAAAAACTCAGTATAAGATCGCATTGATGTTTGAAGTCTATACCAAGTAGCGAGTATCAGTTCGGTCCTGCCTGATGCACAAAGGATAGCGGCGTAGTCAGAACATTTTATTCACAGGATGTTAGATTGGGTTTAACAACCAACTGATATTAGCATTAATATCTACGGATACACATTCTCTAAAGTACAAATGTGAGAATATTGAACTGCATCAAGCGTTAATTTTGCTGTCACATTTTCCGATTATATGTTGCACCAAAATTGAGACATACAACAAGAAATAGGCCTCACAAATGACCAAGATAAATATTTGGTAACGAAAAAGAACATCTGTATATTTCATCTGGAGGAATTTCAAGATATTAACTAGTTTATGAAAATCAGTGAAAATTTAGATAATTTAATTCAGTCCAGTTTTTAAAACTGAGATTGATAGTATAGAGAATTTGCTCACTTAATGCTGGCAAAATGATGCTCGATGATCCTTATATGATACTATGATCCTCGAAAATCGCTTTTTCCTCCTTGGCTAAACGGCTTGAAAATCTCAGGATGTAATTAATCAATTAGCTGTCCTATAATTTCTTCATTCAAAAAATTAACAAAATTCTAATAGAACAACTAGTTTTACAACAAGATTTCAAGAAAACTGTAGAATGACGAAGATTTCTCTTATAACAGAATCTCGCCAAGTAATCCATGGCGATCTCGCTCATTGTTATTACGCTCATCGATAGAACTAGTAGTAGTAAGAAAACGTCCAAATGCTGTTGTACCCATGCAGCTTGATTATGAAGTCATGAGTCATTTTTGCATGATGCATGATGCATGAGCGTTGCACTGATTAAAAGGTTTTTTTGTTTTTCTCGTATCTTAATAACGAAATGACATCTAAAGCTGAAACTTTTGACTGAGATATGCGTTTGCTATGACTAGGTGAACGAAAAATTTCATATCTATATTATTAGTACAAACGAATAAATCAAGCTTTTTTCAATAATCCTGCCTCTCTCTCTCCTGAACGTATTTGGAGTTTGGTTCACTTAAAAAGGTTTCACAAAAAGCCCTTGAAGATTTTTATTGCACGAATTAAGGGTCTGTGTGGAATCATGCAGGGCTCTGTAAGTCAGTACAAAACCTTCTTTCAAGTACGGAGTCTTTTTAGGGTTCAGTACTTACTTATAAAAAGGTTTCCTAGTAAAAAAGGCTTAAAAATTTGTCACCAATGCTAAACTGTTTCGATTTTCCAACAGAAAAAGGCATGTTAACATACCATTCTTTCTTAGAGCGTAGTGACCGGAAACTTTCACATTTGTACTATTAGTGCAAAAGAATTACTGTTGTCATCTTCAGGAAACAAAATGACGTAAAATAGAACAACTTAAAATAGAACAGTTAACTTTTCTATTTTACGTCATTTTGTTTCCTGAACATAACAACAGTAAATTATCGAAAGGTCGAAAATAAAATCAAAATTGAATTTAGTTAACTTCTAAAATGAAATTTATAGCAGTATTGTACTCGTTCTTTGAAAAAGCCAACATGTTGTCTTTTCATTTTCTCGCGATCTGCATCTGAGGAAACTTCTTAAAAAAAGATTGTCTGTTTATTCTCGAGTTATTCAAAAAAACACTCTATTATGACGTGAGTAATACGTAGTATCAAAATAAAAATATTAAACTGTTAAGCCGACATAAGACAATTACGAAATAAACAAGTATATCCGTCCATAATACTTTCGATCTATCTTTTTTTCACGAGTTTGATGTAGACTGTGACGCAGCTAATTAGGATCAAATACTAGAAAATTAGATTTAACATCTGTTTTATCCCATATTGGGCAAATTTTTGGGAGACAGATTAGATAGTTCATATTTGTAATGTCAAAAACAACAGGAGAATGAGAACAACAACGAATACAGCATTGCTCTTTTGATAACATAATTATGTCACATTATATAAAATATTTTACAAACAAATCCTTTGGTCTTCTTCACCATACACTACATGAATAACTTATTCCCCTTAAAGAATAGTTTGTCTATTTCAATGTAGAAATAATAAAAATAGCAGATAGGTCATATTCACGAATATGTTTTTGAACATGAACTTATTTTAGAATTTGAATTCTCATTGAACAGTACGTCATATTATTCTACTCATACACATTCATTCTGATTTTTCAAGAATATCAATAATCGTGTCATGTTGTAGGTGTTACGAATTCGTTGAAGATTTCGTCTTCTCAGCAACCTTTCAACAACGATACAAATAATAACTATGTCAATTATTCGGATGAGCAACGATTGTTATACTATTTAATGAGGTATAAACTGCTGTACCTACTAGACTTATTATAATAATGGAAGTATCTTTATAATCACCATAGAAATTACAATAACAATGTAAGACCAGTGTTTAATGCTAGTAACCCGGTACCAGTTAAACTAGGGTTAACGCTAACACAGATATTTGACATGGTAAGTGTAAGACAATCATGATAATAGAATATCATCTTTGATTAATATGTTTAAGATTGAAAAAAATCAAATACTCGTAACCAATGTGTGGCTCGATCAAGAATGGTATTATAGTAAAATCTTATTTACATCAAATAATTTTTTTTTCTTCTTTTTTGGCATGATGAATTTTTACGTTGGAATCCTGACGACTTTAACGGCATTCGACGATTGAATTTACCATCTAAATTAATTTGGTTACCAGACATTGTCTTGTATAATAATGCCGATGATTTTTCGACTAGTGTAATGCAGGCAAATGTATGCGTCTATCATTATTATTATTATTATTATTACCAATAAATGTAATACATATATATGTTGTGAATTTGTAGGCAATGATTACTAATAACGGTACAGTATTCTGGCCAATTCCAACGCGTTTAAAAAGTTCGTGTCAGATAGATGTTACCTATTTTCCGTATGATGAACAAGAATGTAAATTAAAATTTGGTAGTTGGACATTCAACGGATATCAAGTAAAGAAAATATTAAAATATTTTCCATAGTATATAACCAAAAATAGAGCTCTTTTATAAGGTATCGATTGAGCAACGAGGTGATGCAATTGAATTATCAAATTATGTACAAAATGGTGAATGGGATTTATTGGATACGTAAGGGAAATAAATATCATTCTATTTTTTCCTTCAAGCATTTAGTTGATGTATTAATTTAGATCGTATCAAGTTAATATAGTACGATATCCATGTTGCATAGAACCATTTCCTGATATCACATTTTATCTACGTATTCGTCGTCGAATTCTATACTATTTATATAGTGTTGTTTTTCCTTGCGTAATGTTATCCGTATTGACTTTACTTGTTTTCTGTCTACCACCTGAAAGTGGCGAGAAAATCGGTATCGTTATGGTTAATGGCTGATTTTAGTCTATTTGTCTGTAATTACCTATTTTTTGATTTTAGCCTTGGGTATAACAGTTCTTCTAGCATTTTCCGTTTTTATGTTAGCAATCGCCGAATCAATGCCCGAAACATCTGAACATATACCATTAATAAGTATGTAACTATCGGTAAATAGTGGTGTAATGGACAAATAATGATTATTCTATTATTTTAAAGGTATCTATTTAACAGCAGTTATGGCTATGACGAGTATCTCTGTAATGATGACAGTATTTGTTTTGAATTTACATTATCGAGGACCAAAACGTAATGAACTTCCATTTTGGTTACAACAACTATTAGGTTTATCATTAGCCGGTGTTATACGAACAGTGAGAACAAGTGGATGTTCTTGGATGAAGAAAGATGCACGACGAAAAGTACGAAATACTCGATACAAGTCACGCTCATCGCATTTAAATAAATTCGACTCATTTGTACCCACAAATGGAATTTCATATAAATTAAATGAAACAGTGATAAAACAGGAAAATGTACAATCAACAACCTATCATTCAGCAGATTATGAGGTTATAACCATTATTTTAATTTACACAATTTAGTATCATCTACTTTTCTTAAATTATTTTTAGAGTTTACGCTACAGAGACAATCTTAGTGATGGTCTGGATAACGTTAATAAAAGATCATCGTCTCGTTTACAACACGATTCGACAGTTTTAAAAGACAATCATTCATCCTCAAATTATCGTCCTTTCTCGGATAATTTGAGTGTTCCATCACCACCAACATCAATACAACGATCAAGTTCTACTATTCAAGAAGAAATTCATCAAACTTTACATAGTCTATTATTGAAACAAAAACAAATTGAACGTGATTTACAAATCGCTAGTGACTGGCGATCAGTTGCAACAAAAGTAGATAAAATTCTCTTTTGGATATTTCTTTCTTTAACGATTATTTCTACGCTTGGACTACTCGTAATCGCTCCGTTCTTTAGGATAAGTATGCAACAAAAAACAAAATTTTATCACGGATCAAAACGACCTTGATTTTTACTTATATACTCTCTGTATTGTATGCAAATCTGTAAATATAATTTTTCTATTTTCCATATTGAAGATCACCGGTATGGTTATTTCATGTAGTACTGAGAATCTTTCTTTATACGCAGTCTTGTGCACTGCCGAGCAGAACAGATATGTAATCAAGACGGACGATCTAAATAAATTACACATAGATCGACGCATCTGATGATCTTTTATATAGCAATATAGAAGTTTACTGAGACGCATGAATCTCGAAAACAGTATTTTCGTCGTTGCAAAGAAAAAAACCCGTTCAGTACAACTGCATGAATATTTAAAGACGATAAACAACTGATCGTTTATGAAAATTTGATACTATGATTGATAATGGACAAATTTAACATTAGTGCTTGTTTAGAACAATAATTTTACTTAATAAGTGTTTTTATCTTAGTTACATGAGTAAATAAAAATGAATTTTAGGACTACTAATGTTTAATAGGACACATTTGCTACGTAAGGAGACGTGTAACCACAATTGGGACAACAAATGGTTGGGCCAGCATTAACAAGTGGTGCAACTGAAGCTGGAATAGGATAACCCATGTTATACGGTTGAGGTACCGGAATCGGTGTAACGACACCAGAATGAAGGGTTGCTAAACCATTCTTTTTTTGTGGCCATATTTTTGGTAGATTTTTTCGTTTAACAAGGTAGAAGATAATGTAGATAATTGATAGAATGATGAATAAACATGAACAAACGAGTTCAATAACTAAGAATATCAACTTAAGCATATTATATGTTTGAATTGAACTTGCCGATGTTGCGCTTGCATACGAATAACTGGAGAATAAGAACGTCGAATACTGTGCATAGGAACATTGAAATCCAAAACATGTACTTTGATTATAGATAAATACGCTTAAAAACGATATAACGACGAGAAGAACAACCACAGATATACAATGAAATACAAGAGCAACTGTTGCTTTTCTTAAAGTCTTTTTAAAACAAACTAAAATGATACAAAATTACAATTCATTTTTACTTTTTTTTCAACAAAACGTCTTTGCTTCCATGTACAGGATTTACTTTCCATGATTAATTTTTATTTTAATTAGTTTTTTTTCCTACAGAAAAGAAGATCTACATGTTTTTTTTTACTATAATGGCCTCTGGTGCATACTATAACCCGCCGTGGTAAGAGGCCAATACCACCCCCTTCACAGTGTGCATCCAGGCCGGCTTTTTGTGGAAAAATGAAAATTGATTTTTCAGTGATTTTAATGGTGATAAATATACTTTGAAACATGCTCTATTTAATGACAAAAAAAATTTTGTCCTAGAACTTATTTAAGCTGGGAAAATCCTATATACAAGAATATACAAAAAATACGTGCCCATCGGAAAATCGGATTATTCGCAAATATACGCAAAAATTAAACATAGCTATTAGACAAACAAACATATATTCAGAATTGGCATGAAGTGCGCTATCGATTGGTAAAAAAATTTCTATTTTTGGACTTTCTAAATTGGAGAAAAAGAGAAGACATTTTTCTAGCGTATTTTCCCAGGAGGTGTATTTGATACAATGCGTGCGCGAACTTTACCGAAGTTCTAATCCTGATGATATTTTCAGGGAATGTTGTCCTATATATGATATGTCTACACAGTTAGCGCCAATCAGCGCCGACGCTCCTGGATCGGATGGCAGGTTTTCCAAAAAACCCTCCGTTTTTACAGTAATTTCAATTTTCTCAGGCTAGAATCATTCAAAATTCGATAAAAAGCCGTATTTGGAATCAGCGCAAGAAACTGCCTCAAATGATGTGCGATTAGCAGGTTTTACTGAGAAAAAAATTTATTGAATCTAACGAAACGCTAAAGTCGAAGCATAGCGTGACAATTTTGGCTAAGGATTTTGATATTTGCTATAGAAGCAACCTGAAAGCCTGCAAACACTTTTTCATAGGTTTTCAGATATGCTCTTTCCAATGATGTGCTTTATAACGTTCCAGGATACTTATGTGTACGTTTTCTGGAGACCGGGTCTCTGGAGAACTCGGATGAAAATCTCTTTGAACTTTGTAAAGTATACCATTTGAAAGAAAATATCTGAAAACCTATGAAAAAAGTGTTTGTAGGCTTTCGGATTGCTTCTATAGCAAATGACCGCCTGGCCTATGGAAAAATGCACACTGTGCCCTTTGGATTCCAAAAACTAAGAAAGTGGCGGTTATTCTTTAAGTTATTTATTTGGAAAAGTATGTAATTCCAAAGGAAAAAATAGGGTGTAATCCTAAAATCCTAAAGCTGCATTGAATAATCCAAGAGTTCTGCACTGCGAAACTTGCTTGGGATCATTATTCAACCTAATACTAACTGGTGTTGCAAAAATTCCTGAAAAAATGTCTCTTCATTTTTCTTCTGCTAAAACATGTTTTGGAAAAATGAAAAATACTACATTTCAAGAGCTTTTTAACTGTATGTTCAAAAAATTTCTATCACTTGTGACCTTTGAGCAGTAAGTGCATCTTTGAAGGACACCAATATGTAGTCTGTAAAGAAAAGAAACTTGTATATCTTTTTGACTTCAACAGTAACAGCATTAAGATGAGAGATCAAACTATGGTTTCCATAAGAGATTACAGAGTAGACTTTTCTCTACAAAATAGACTCTCTGGAATTATTTTGCGTATTGAAAACTGAGCATCCTTTTAAGTTATGCAAAGTCATCGTTTTTGAAAAATCGTATTTTTTCTGACATAGAAACTAGTGTTCGCAAAATAACGATAACTTCTAAATCTTTTGTCCTATCTGAGCACGTCGTTTTGCAGAGAAAAGTCTGCTCTAATAGCTTACATTGTTAAAATAATTCTACTCAACGGCATTGAATTTTAGACTTGGAAAAATTCCATATATTTCTCTTACTAGACCAAACGTTTGAAAGATTCACTTTGTTTTCGTAGATCAGAAACGCAAAAAGTTTTCGAACAGTAGCTGAGAAAGTTCTTCAAATGTAGATTTCGAAGAACTTGTTATTTTTTTCTAAAATATTTTTAGCACAAGAAAAATGAAATGATATTTGTACAAGAACTTTTGCAGCATCCGTTTTTTGCGGACTAGTTTTTTATGTCAATCAAAGACACGCTTACTGCTCGAAGGTCACAAGTGATAGAAATATTTTTAAACATACAGTTAGAAAGCTCTTGAAATGTAGATTCTGAATTTTTCATTTTTTCAAAACGTGTTTTAGCAGAAGATAAATGAAGGGACATTTTTCCAGGAATTTTTACAACACCCGTTATATAGAAGATCTCTAGTTTTTACAAGAGCTCACTAAAACTGATAATATAAAGATAAGATCTAGAAGAGATGCTTAGATGTCTTGACAGACGCACTGATGGTTTCCATAGATTCAAAGGATAGCTTAAGCAGGAAATGCATAGCCTCGTTCACGCTTCCGATTTTCCTTCATCAGCTTGCTCTGGACTTATGCTTTCCTGAGATCTTTCTTCTGTTTTAGTAGCGAAGCAAAATTGGGAGCATTTAAGCCTATACCCAAAATCCTTGGCTGTGGGGTGGTATCAATGCTTCCCTTTAATAAGTGTATAAAGCGATCCTAATAAGATAAAGCCATTCGACCTTATTAGATAAAAAATGTATGTATTAAGCAGTCTGATATATAAGGATTTACTTTCCATTGATTTGGAAAAGGTATACAGTTCAATTAAGTAGCCAGTTGACTAATGATTGTTCTTCCAAAAGGGAATCGGAGTATGTTTGAGTAAATTTAAGTAGTTATTTGGGTGAGGATGTTTGTTATAACTTATATAAAGGTACTGCACTTAGCTCACAGTTATATTCCAAAATGTCTGCTAAATTCGTTGAATCTACTCATGGTAAAAGAAAACTAAATCATCTTGGCTATCAATATTGTCTTAAATGTAAAAATCAAAATTCAGAATATTGGATACGTGTACAATGTAAAGCAACAATAACAACTTATCCAGAGATTTATCGGTTGTCTTACGTGATGATCATACACATTTACCAGATGAATCTTCTACAAAAATATTGGAAATTAGAAAAACGTAAAACTTTAGGAAGAACAATCATTAGTCAACTGGCTACTTAATTGAATTGTATACCTTTTCCAAATCAATGGAAAGTAAATTCTTACATATCAGACTGCTTAATACATACATTTTTTATCCTGAACTGAATCCTGTAAACTCTTTTCTTCAGATGACTCTTTTCTATATCGCTTCTTATCTCTTTCTCACCTGTTGTAAACGTCGATATTGCAGTCCCTATAAGGAACGGAAAGGCCCAAATACCAGTATACACAGTACTCCGATATAAATCAACGCCAATATTTCCAATTTCCATTCCAAGAATACAGAAACTTAAAATCAATTCTACTGTTGCTATAATCGCTATCAGACAACCGTGCCATTTTTCACCCCAATAGACCGTATTGGCATACATATTTTCATCCGTATTCTGAAACGTTTGACGTTATTTATCATGGATTTTTAAAATGTCAATTAAACCCACACGAAGATTGATTATATGGTTTCACGAGTTTAAATGGAATTAAAGACAAGAAAGTTTTTGTGTTTACGCACAAAAAAAAATAAGTTGAAATTTTTTCTTTTAAACAATTGTTGATTTACATGAAGATAAACAAATATAATCAAAAAAATTCATATACACATACACTACAAGCGATGTAAGTGGAGGATTTATTGTAATAGTACTTATAAAATTTTGTGAGATTTTTTTGAAAGAGCAACGTTGTTATATTTAGAGAAGTCACTACGCTTTTCATTAAAGCAGTTAAATGTTGTTGTTTTTTCGAAGTTGAACATTGTTGTTTTTTCAAAGTTAAATATTGTTGTTTTCAATGGCAGCAAATTATGGTAAGATAAATCCATATAAATTCTTCGATAACAAAAACGAACGAGAATAATCCAGCAATAATGAGCCTCTTAGTATTGTGACTATAACGTTTCAGCCTTTTATTTTAGAAACTTAATTTTTCTTTTGAAATATGCGCCATTTGATTCTTTAAAAAACACATACTGAACATTATTTAAAAATATGGAGAAAATACTGCGAAGCTTTAATCTCTATTACTTTCCAACCGAAAAAGAAACCCACTATTACTCAATTCAATGTACTCCCTTTAATCCTACGATATAAAAGATTATATAGTACCAAACTTGTCAAAAGTTGTATCAACTAATTAAATTTAAAACTCTTCGTAATTACAAGCGGTTGAGAAAGAATTCGATTTTTCGATTTTTCTACAATTTATCATTTCAATTGCAGTTCTGGACCACTTGGAAATTTTTTATAGCTCAGCTAAAATCAAACATTTTGATGTCGGAGTTGTTTTATCTTAAAGTAGAATAACTCTTCTATTACTTCTGAACAAAAAAAGTTCAATAGTGTCATTTCTTTTGCTTTGTGGAATCGAAAAAGTCAACTTTTACCTCGTTCCGATAAATTTTAATAAAATCGCTTTTTGAGTAAGAAAATACATTTACAACGAATCTATGATATTCGAAAGAAAGACCATACTTTGGAGCACAAGAGCATATCCTTTGATGTTACTCTAATGTATAGCATCGTGCTCAAAATAAATTTATTCTGCATTGTTGTTTTGGTTGGAAAGTAATCGAAATTGAAGCTTCGCAGTATTTTCTCCCTATTTTTTTATTTGTTAAAGTATAAAAAAAATAATGCTCAATATGTGTTTTTTAAAGAATCAAATGGCGCATCTTTTAAAAGAAAAATGACGTTTCTAAAATAAAAGGCGGAACGTTATAGTCAAAATACTGAGGGACTCATTATTTCTGGACTACCCGTTACTTTTCAATTGAAAAACAGTTTTCGTTTCTGAACTAGGAACGGACCAACAGTTCAAATTCATAGGAACGATTCACATATTCTAATTTCTTCCAGAAGGCACTACAGTTGTTTTTGAGCGAGGAACTGTTAATGTTCATTCTTAGTGTTCTCTCTTAATTTATTATGTATTCATATAGCGAATATTTTTGAAAAATCGAGCAAATTAACAGAGCACTAAGAACGAGTGTTAACAGTTTCTCGCTCAAAAATAACTGTAGTTCCTCCTGGAAGAAACTAGACTAAGTGAGTCGTTCCTGTGAATATGAACTGTTGGTCCGTTCCTAGTTCAGGAGCGAAAGTTGAAAAAACAGTTCTCATTCAAAGAACGGAAACCGAGAACTGTCACAGATCTATTGTACACAGTCATATTCAATAAAAGCAGTTTATTCTTGTGAGAGAAAAAGAGTTAATATGTCGCAGAAACTAAAATGTGCATAATGAAGAATTCACGAAAAGTGAGAGATCATGAAAGGGTTCTCGACTGATAACGCGGAGGCTTGTGCCAAACCAGTGATTCAATAAAAGAACGTATAAAAAACAAGATAAGAACTTCAGAACGAGAAAAAAATAACAAATAAATACACAAACAAATTGAGTACTGATGGTCAATAAACTACAAAAATATAAAAAATGGTGTTTATGACTTCCTCGCTTTTGTCCAGTTTTAGCTGAGCCCCCCCCTCCGTTTCATTTAGATGTCTTTTAAAAAATGAATATACATAGCTGCGTGAAAACGTTACTCAACATACATCTGTGTAATGCCGTCATAAAAAACAAATCTTTTCATTATCATATTTAATATTGATTAAGAATATCTGTTATTTACTTCAGGATGTAATCAAACTGCAAAAATACAAAGGATGGCATAAGTCATGGTGCGATAAGAATGAAAGTTTTTTTTGCATATAAAATTGTATTAAAAAAATATTAAATATTAAAAAATTAAAATAAACATTGTAATTTTGTCAAAAGCTTCCAATCTCGGAAATAACTTCGATGACAATATAAGACTTTAGATTTGTTGAAAGGTTTCAAAAATCTTTTTTAAACTTCACCCGTTTTTTGACAATTACGAGTGATCGTACGATCACTTAACTCCCACTTAAGCGTGAATAACTGCATGTATTGCATAATGACAGGTCGCTACGTGAAACAGAAAAGGAAAAAAGATGATAGAAATTCTCAAGAGCAAAGTGAAAGGTAAAGTGAGATTTTTGTTCTCAGTAAGAATTTTCATCAAGAATTAGAAATGGTATTCACAGCAGAAAAATACTGAAGAGTTTCTCAGACTGAAACAAGTAGCAACAACTACAGGATAAGATCTGACTCGAAAGATAACCTTATTACTATTGTCGTCAAAAGGCAATGCCGGTGAGTGTTTTCCGAATAACTCTTGAATACAAAACGCTAGAGGCTTGCAATTTTCACTATTCGATAAAGTAAGTTCGAATAGATAGTTCAAAGTGTCCTCAAGAAATGGAAAATAAGCGACCTTTCAATATGAAAAACAGTTTCCGCAATGAAACAAGAAGTTAAAGTGAATCTCAAGCATTTGATTCCATTAACTGTGTAATGTTCTTTTGTGCTTTGCTTCTTTCTGTTCTATCCTTATCTCTCTTACTCGACAATGAACTTTTTTTTCTCATTTTTGTAAACTTCGAGTGACGAAAGAGAAGCCATGATGATAAAACAAATTCAAGTCATTGACCAAGCTAAAATAGATACAATCTCTGAAGATGGTCTAGCATCAATTTATAAAATATCAAATTGAATAATAAATATCAAAATATAACAACCAGAGAAAAACACTTATACGGCAATTCGGAATATCCCATTGTATGCTGGATTCTACATGAACACATTAGAATAAAATGAGTATATAGAGAAGAGAGATTATACTAGTGTTGGTGAAGATAGAGAGAGAATTTGGAATCGACTTATGAAATCCACTCTAGCCATGTGACATCCTGCCGATGAAGGTTTAGTACATCATGACTGATTGAATCTTCCGGTGGTATCAATGAATTGGAGGATGGCTGTATACACTCCTATCAGGTTCTGCTTAAGCAGTGCTGGGATAGATTCATGTTTCAAAAGTATGTGCTCCAACGTAATGTGATTATCTTTAAGGACAATACGCAGTTGCTCAAACATAAAGTTACGAGACTTATCATAAAGAGCACAGTTCATGAAAAAACGTTTAGTAGTCTCTCTGTTAAAGCCACATGCACACGCCGGTGACTTTTCTAATCCAATTCTAGTAAAGAGATAGTCATTTAGTTGGGGATTATCAACTCTACATCGCGTATGATGTATCTCCAACCGCCGATCACACATTAACGGTTACCAAATATTTCTTTATCTACGATATTTGATTGTCAATTTTACACTATATTCGTCGTCACCACAAAACGACTATTTAATAGACGTCATTCTACGTTTTATGTTGAATAAACTGTCCAAAAACTTCGAAATAAAAGAAATATCTAAGATATATTTAGTTAATCAAAAAATATCACAATGAAGATTATCTGACAATCGAATTAGATAATAATATAAAAAATCATATAGAAAAATATGTCTGGTTTAATTTACGTATAAAAAGAGAAAACAATAGTAATATTTTAGTCAATAATTTGAAACTTGTAAGTCCCTAAGCCTTTTTTCAATAAATATCCATTATCATTCAATTTTGTAATTATATCATCAAATTTTTCGATATTGATTTTGGCATCCTAACAAAATAAATAATAATAATAAATTCAAATATAAAAGACTATTTGTATGCAACACACCGAAGCAATTTGTTTCAGTTGAGCAACAGTGAACATGGGATCTTTTCTCATTTCTGCTACACGTTGAACAGCATAAGCAAACTTTTTTACCTTAAAATAATGCATTGTGATAATTATTTTCAGTTTTATGAGAATAAAATAGGGTTCACTTACTTGAGATGCTTTACTCATCCCACTACCGTGTTGTAAGCGAGAAAAATCTAAACAGCCATTTTCATCTGAATATGTATCGAACATACTAAAATAGAAGTACCTTATGACCAAATGGAGAGCTCATAACATAATTGAGAGATCGTACCTAGCTTTCATTATCTGAACAACTTCTTTTGCATCTAATTCTGTACATTTATCTCGTAATTCAAGTTTTGCACGGGCCTATTCAAATACATAAATAACAGATACCGAAAATAACAGCAGGGACTAATGTTGAACTAATAAATTTTTTTCCATCATTTCCAGCTTTTACGAATATAATTGTGCGTATGCCCGCTACTCACATGTACAAGTATCTCATGGCATCAAAATCGCCTCACTTTTGTCGATTTTGACGTAAAATTGTGATTAATCGCGTTTTTTCTGCTGTGTTTGTGTGACAACAAGCAAAAAAGATCGCCGAACTTAGACAGTTCAAAGTATATTCGTGGGGGTATAAGTTTTCTATAGTAGTATAAGTTTTCACTAGGTCTTTGAATTTTTTTCGAGAAACAAAAGTTGCTACGAGATTCAGCCTAGTTGATAACCTATGTTTTTATTTATCATCGGTATATACCGACGGAACAGGGTGCGATTGATAAATTTTCTACTTCAAAAAACCACTGAAAATGTATCAATTATGAATATCACTTACTTCGGTTAATCGAATTAATGATTCTAATTGTCGAAGTGTAATCGGTGTTGTGCCCTCATGTTGATGTGCACTTCGTAACTCCAAATAGAACGTTTTTAATACTGCTATTGCTTCTGGTAAAAGTTTCGGATGAACATAACGTCTTGCGTAAGCAATGTACTAAAAAAACAAAAGTAACTTATATATTTAACATTAAGAAATCGTTGAAACATGTTTCTACTTTTTGTAGTAAAATATGCGGTACAAAATCAAGTGTTTCGCCCTGTTTCAATCGTAATCGTTCAATCAATGGTGCATCTTGTTGCGTCCCTGAATCTTTCGATTGTTTTTGACACGAGATTTGTGATGATGTTCTTGAAACATTAGATGTTGAACGATTATGCATTGCAAGAACATGTTCAGATAAACGAAAATCCAATTCATCATTTGGACGATCAATTAGTATAAATACTAAATCAAAACGACTCAATATAGGTCCTTTCATTCTAAAAAATAGAGAAAGAAAACTTATTTAAAGAAATCAATCATTCGTTTCATAAACTTTCCCGTACTTCAGATTTTCAGCAACAGTTTTAGATTTATCATAATGTCCTCCTACTGGATTCGCACAAGCCAGAACACATGTTCGTGCTGGTACACTATGAAACAAGAATAAAATTCATTAAAATGAACTTTTCTGAAAACTTTTCTTTCGTCACCTAGCTATGATACCAGCTTTAGCTATCGAAACACACTGTTGTTCCATAACTTCTAATAGAACTTGTTGTTGTGTAGACATTTTATCAAATTCATCGATACAACAACAACCTTGATGACTTAACACTAATGCACCAGCATCAAGTACCATATCACCACCAGTGTCTTTATGTAACGTTATTGTTAAACCAGCTGTTGTTGTGCTAGTGCCACAAACATAAATACCTACACAAAGACGAGAAACAAATCTTTATCAATCTCTTTGTCATATAAATTTACCTCTTGGTGCAACATTGACACAAGAATGTAACAATTGAGATTTACCAAGTCCAGGATCACCTACAATCAGTATATGTGGATCACCACGTATTGGTATTTTACCCTGAAAAGGAAAATATTCATTGCTTTTCTTTTCGATACATTGAGCATCTTACCGAACTGTCATCTGATTTTGTTCTTCCACCAAATAATCCTAATAATAATCCAGCTTTGACTATTTCATGACCATAAATACCAGGACATAATGATTGAACGAGCAATCTAAAATGAAAAATAAGTACTAATACAATCTATGTGATAAGCTCATCCGTTATGTTCTTTACTTATATAAATTTAGTTGACAACGTATTTGTTCGACAGCATACAAATCAATAAGTGTAAAATTGAGTGTCAAGTTTGAATCAAATCCATTTATATTCTGAACAGCCCGCTGATTAACAACAGAATTAACATCAATGTAAGCTGTTAATAAACATTGATCGGTATTTTTACGTGCTGAATCTAAATGAGAGATATTTATAAGTATTATCATAGTAGAAAGTGATACATTTTCTATTCTAATGATAGATACCATCATCCGCTAATTTAACGACACCTTGTACTTGAATAATATCACCGGGAATAGCGCTATGAACAAGATCATTTGTTAATTCACAATCAATTGTACGAGGAATACGGCCAGGTTCTCGTGTTGCTTCAGATGCCACTTCTTGAATTCTAAAAAAACAATAATTTTAGTAAAGAAAAAAAAAGAGAAGGAGAAAGTAAACAGGGGAAAATGGTTATTACAACTCTACCTTATTATTTGCCAATCAATAATTGTTGTTAAATGACTGGAACGTTGTGGTTCAAATACTTGACTAGTACAACCAACAGTTAGACATCGCTCGGGAACTGTATACTTTCCATCTGGACATGTGACACCCTAAAATTGTCTGTCTTTCTTATTTATACTTGTAAAATGACTTAACTACTTACAAATACATGTCGGCATTTGCCACATTCAAATGCCATACGAGTACATAAATGTCGACAATTACCAACACGAACAACTACTCCTTGGATGGAAACAAATTTTTCTAAACAGAAAAAAGTAGTTTAAAGTTCAAATACTCTAGTTTCTTCTTGCACAACTATCTAGAAGGCGTTGTATCAATTTGATCGATCTTAAGTAAATTATCAAAAAGTACTTTCCACGTACGATGAAATTTTGCTTTGACATCTTTTAAATGTACAATAGGTGTATAATTAATCAAACGAGCATAAATAATCGGTATTGTGATTAGTGGGATTGCTTGATATTTGGCTTCAAGAGCTCCTTGTCGATCTCTTTCGTCTCGTTCATCAGTAACACACTAAACAAAATGATAAACAATTAACAACGCAATAGCATGATTAAAAATTTGATTACAAACCTGATGCATTGCTAAACCCATGACACGCATTAGTGTTTCATTTTCATCAACAAACAAATCGGCCCACATCGATTCATTTGGTAAAAATTCTAAAATATGAGAAAATTTTCTTTTCAAATTAAGAAATACAAGAATCTTATGCGAACCTTGATCTAATAATAGTTGTTTATAATCGACTGTAAAAAATTGTTGTTGTTCAATTTCTCTCTGAAAAAAATAAACATTCTTTTGGGAAAAGAGAGCGAGACCTTTTTTCGCTTACAAAATTGAATAATTGACGTAATCGTTTAAAATAATTTTCAAAACGTTTACAAGCACTCAGATACGTTGGATCATCATCTTTATCTGTCAAGTTAAAAACACGATAATGATGACATTCTATAATAATAGTTTTAGTTACTAACTGATATCGGAAAAATATAACGACCATCCACGATAGCGTGCTGGCTGTTGAGTAACATCGATAAATGATGCTGAAACATATACAAAACCAACTAGAACTTTAGTCCGTTGAAATATCACTGTGACCAAAGTTTATTCATCCAACTGAATTTATAAATCAAAACTGGTATTCTGTAATTTTTCTACTATACTTTATAAAAATATTTCAAACATACTTATTGGCAATTGAACGGTCATCGACGTTGCTTTGCCTATTGAACTGACATTATGTGTTTGTACTGATGATGATGATGCTCGTTTATCATTTTTTGAATTATTATTGTTGTTACTGCTGTTATTGTTATTATCTGTATTCTTTTTCTTTTTATAATTAAAACGTCGATACGGATATTTCTTTTTTGGAGACATTTTCTTATCTAAAAATCTACAGAGAGCAAGAACACATTTGCAATTTTGTGCTTTACAAGATGTCATACAATTTGGTTAGAAGTATACAATAAACTGTCTGCAGGAAATTTTGATACTCCTTCAGCTACATCATTGTGATGATTTTAAATCTTGATCAAAAAAATATACATGGAAGAAGTTTTCAGTAGTGACATGTTCACCAAAGCTCTCCAACTTGAGTGATAAAGCTTTTAGAGTAGAAATATAATTTTTCGAATCTTTTTGCTGTTTAGTTATGACGTCAAAAGGGAAAGCTCTGATAAAACCTTAATTCTTTGACTTTTTATGTTTTCTTTTTATGAAAAGGCATAGTCATTTTTGTTACGTTTTCTGAACACTAATGAATTTTAAACATGCTATTTGTATTTGTATACATCAATAGCGATGATAATAATAAAAGAAATTCATTTTTATTTCTAACACATAAATAATGAGAATCAACGAGAGGGTCTGATACGTCTTGTCTTCATCTGATATAAAATAAATATTCTATTTAATATTAAGTCGTTCTTTGTCTATCTAACATACAGCAGTTAGTGCTGTCGCTGGAGTAGTTGAAAACTGTTGAATAAATTTAATTACAAGTCAATTGCTTAAGACAGCTTGTCCGAGCGTGACGCTGTGACATTTTTGACACACTAATTTGAGCTTTTCTCAAAAGTGTAAGAGCTAGAAATTTCGTTCTTGCGCCATTCGACGCAGTTCGCCATACTCTACTTTTGGTATAAAAATGAAGGTTTGTGGCTAAAGAGTCGAATTTTTAGAATCGTTTTTCGACGTATGACGCTGTGACAAAAAAAGGTCCTGAATTTGAAGTTCTTCTCATTAAAAGCTAATTTGCTGCGAATTTAGAAGAGCTGATAAAAAGCGCCTTGACCAAAGTTTGTAGAGGAGTAAACGAGCTACTGATTGCTAAAAAAGAATCTTTCCAATGAGCTTTCCATGCCTCACTAATTGTGTTTTATCGTCGTAAAAAAAATAATGTGAGATTCATAATCAGCACCAAAAACTGCATCTAGTGATATGCTCCTTTCAGTTTTACTCTAAAATAATTTTTTCAAAAACTTAATCAGCGAAGTCTCGAGTTACGTAGACAAGCCGAAGAGTCCTTCCCCCCTCTTTTTTCACCGTGTTGCCAAATGCAGAGCACACGTACGATCGAGCTCAAATTTATACCAAAGGTAGAATATCAAAAAAGAAAATCGATGTATTTTTGCTCCGAATTTTGTGACATGATTTTCCATGTTTTTTCTGGAAAACTCCAGTTTTCATTCAGTCACATTATGATCCCTCGAAAAAATGGTCCGATCGAGTGAAAATTTTCACCACAGATACTCCAGACCCTATCTCAGGTTCTAAATTTTCAGGTAAAAACTATGCTTTTCTTCTGGAAATATATGAAAATGCTGAAAATCACGCAAAAAAGTCAGTTTTTTTCATAGATCTTCAGGAAAGCATATTTTTCGAGAAAAAAAATTTAGAACCTGAGATAGGGTCTGGAGTATAAAATATAAATATGGACTTAAAGACATTTATTATAGGATACATAGATATCATGAACATGCTCATCTAGAAAATTGCACATCACACATCATTATTTAAAACTAAAATAACTCCATATCAACTGTGATTCAAATTTTTCACATGATGAATAATAGAAATAGAATAGAAAAAGAGAAAATAAACTTAACAAACATTGCGACAAAATCGACGTAAGTTAATATATCTCTTATAAAGATGTCCGACCTATATGAATTTATGTACAATAAGTATAAAAATAAAGAATGAAAAATAAGTAAGCAAATATGTAGATAGGCGGACTCTACACTATAAATACTGTTGTAAGTTAATGACAAAACTTTCTACTGTGAGTGATAAAACTACAGAATTGGAAAGGACTTTACTAACTTAATAAAACTTTCCACTCCTTTACTGTTCTGACTAAAAACGTTTCTTTGAGAACATCTCCGTTCATAGCAATATAATTATCTTATATAATTTATTAATATCAGTGATTTCACGTCAACATCGGGCAGCAAATTAACCAACCTACTTCATGCGCTTTTTCCATCATTTCGAAAACTGACCAAAAAACGAGTAAACGATTTTAAATAGACTAATATATATTGAATTCACTTGCACAGTCTAGAGTGTATATCACAGCAGTAGATAAAATTGTTGAAGAAAAGTCATTTAGAACAGATGAAAGTAAGGATATATATTAGAGATTTGCAAAAATCATTGGCCAGGTCTGATAAAGAAAGTTTTCGATCTAAAGTCTCCGATCACTCCTAAAAGTTTTTTGATTCCAGTTGAGACTTTTTTTGAACATTCTTGCATCTATAATTCTTTCTAGGTATGCACCGATATTTCGCAGTATATGTTATCCTTCTCGATCAGATCGATTGCACAGTACAATTTATTCATGTTTTTTGACGACTTAGTTTTGTCGGCCAGACAGTTTTCTACAGAATGAGATAATGTGAAGCTCTTCATCTCTTTTCTTTTTGTCGTAATCACTTGACAAAAACCCATAAACCAGTCAGATATCAGTACTAGTACCCATCTAACTACTGAATCAAGACAAAAAGTACTGTCATAACCCTTGACAAGAAATATTACTGTGACATAAACTCGATGGTAAAACATATTATTTTATTATTTTACGTTATAACAAGCTTTTTATGAAAAAAACACGGAACTGCAATCTTTTTTCCACCTTTGATTGTACCAGATAAACGTCTTTATACAGCTACATACATGAAAAACAAACCTAAATATTACAATTTATGTTTAAAATGATTTCATGGATTTTCGGTCCGGTCGGACGAAAGTACTTTTCGACCCGAACCGGACCATCCTTAAAAACTTTCTAGGTCGACTCAGTCTGGTCCAACAAAAGGATTCAAATCCAACTGCACTACACTTCATTTTAAGTGTAAAAGATAAGTCTTTAATTTAGGATAATTTGTTAAGGGATAATACTTCTTCCAATCAGTGTAAATTATCATTTTCCATCTCAGAGTATGACGACTACTATGAAAATTATCCAGATCAGCGGAAGTATATACGAACAATAACAAAACCGAGTGATTCAATGAGTAAAATATTTGGTTTATTTGAGAAATAATCAGTAGTAGTTAGTAGTCCGAGTAACGAAGAACAGCAAAAACAGAAGATGAATGCAGAAAAACGGTCGTCGAGTAGCAAAACAATGGCTTGTGCATATGAACGAAAAATAACGCCATTATCAAGAACGACTAAAAGGCGAAATCGATTTGAGCGAAAGGTAAATTTGAAATTTTTTAAGTTACGTTAAACAATTTTAGTGACAACGAATATGACTAGAAAGACTTCACTAAAAATAAATTATTTCTAATGTGCAATAGTTCATTCAGTAATTGTTAGATGACGTCGATTCTCTCGCTAGTTTCAGAAGTCGACAAATCGTGACTCAATATACTTTCAAATGGGAGAACAAGTTAAAATTTATTATCATACAACCGCTCTGTCTTCAACAAGATGTATTAATTATGGAAAATTTAGCAATAATAAATAGTTTAATCATATTTTTAGTTTCCTTGTTATTAGTTTAGACTTACCTGATTCATCCATAACACTCAAACTAGCGAAGACAGATAAAAATAATATTATTGTTAAATTGATTATTAAATTTTAGAAAATTTTAAATATTATTTCTTAGTACTATGCCGAAAAGAAAGAGACACCTGTCATCCTTTCTAGTTTCAGGCGAACCTCGTTTTTTTCTTCTTTCTTTCTTTGTGAGTGCATCTGAATATCTTGTTCAGTTTCTGACCTGATTCTGTGTTCGAAATTTTCAGTCATGTTTTTATAACCTACTTTTTCATTTTCTTCATACAGATATTGTTAGATCTCGAGTTTGTAGTTGACCTTCAGAGTAGAAAAGACAGCGGTTACACTAAGTGTTGCAAAATAAAATCTTTTCATATGAAATATTATTGTTGGCCGAATGTCTGCAACTGTTGCCAGTTCAGAGGCGCTTTTTAGATACAAAAATGTGTGTTTGTGCATTTTCTTGCCTGTTTTCTTTCTTGAGATCTTAAAATTATTTTCTTTTTGATAGAGCCCAAAAGCAAGTACAATTTTTGAAATTGTACAGAAATGAAATTAAATATGAACATATTTTTGTAATACTGTGTTTTATGGAATTTCCCCCCTTACCATTTTCTGAGTTAATGGTTAAAAACTCTTAAAAATTGTAAATTTAAGTTGACTTCTTCGGACTTCTGGACAATTTCTCACCGACGAGTTGGGCATCTAAGACTCCTTTCTCCTCCAGGAATTACTAACATCTTACTTTTCTTCAAAACTATATTTCCACCATTGTGAACTAGTACATGTATACTAACTCTAGAAGACTAACTCTTTCTGAGTGATCTATTCCAATATTTATCCTGCTTTGGTTATGGGCACAGTAAAACAGTCAAAACTCTCACTTATAGATACCAAGCCTAAACATCTATAGGAATGACAAAGTCGAAAAAAAACTGATATTATGTTGCTTTTACACGTACTACAACACAAAAGATGTATTTATTCATCACAGCACGGCCTGGCTAAATAATCGATACGGATAAAAATGACGTCACAAGTCAACAGAAAATAAGCCTAGACAGAAAAGAGAAGACAACTAGAATCTTGACGGAATGTTGTCAAGATCAACGTCTATTCTGCTTTATGTTCTTTTTGTTTTGTTCTGTTCGTGTTTTTTTATATCCAGCGCGGCCATTTTGATAGTGTGCAATTACTCCTCTATGAAAGTTCTCTTTCTGCGTACACACGTTATTCGAAAGACACTCTCCATTCTTCGACGACTACAAACAACGCAAAAATGTAAGTTAAAGTGGTTATTGTCTATGGTTACAAATGGCAGATAGGATAGAATAATGGAAATATTATAAATAAGATTTTATAAAAGAAAGAAATAATCTTTAAAATAGATTTTATTACTGTTGTAGAAAAAATTGGTTGAACTAGTTTTTGTGAATAGATCTTAGAGAAGCCTTTCGATTCTCTTGACTTAACTTGTGCTGTGGTGAGAAGGTGAGAAAATGAACGAAAGCAATATATGTTGTTGAACTTTACAGTAAAAGCAGCATCTTTGGATAAAGTGTACATCCAAAGTTTACCTTCGCATTTTTCGAGGCCTCTCTATGCTAAAAATAGGGTAGTAATCGTTAAAAACTATGATCAAAGTAATGAAATATCTTTTTCTGCATTCGCCGAATGTTTTCTGTTCTCTTTAAAGAGAAAACAAAATCGACAAAATCAGCTTTATTTAAGTAATTTCGACTCTGTCAAGTCTTATCTGTTCTGCACATAACCTGTTAGACATTCGAGGCTGAACTTTATTAAAAACCAAAATATTTGCAAAATATCATTCATGGCAATATTTTATCATGCTTCTACGAATGAATTACGTAGTGTAATGTTCTAAAAGAAAATAAGTAAAATTTAATCTTTTTCTTTTAGGACTTCTCAATCATCATCACGTGAATATTGTTGTATTGTTCAAGGTTGTCCGAATGGACCTATATCAAATTCATCAATTCAATATTTTTCTGTTCCATTACATTTGCCAAATGTTGCACATCAATGGTATAAAAATACGATGCGTACAGATTTACGTCCATCATCTCAACACTCTGTATGCGAATGTCATTTTGAAGAGCCATGTTTTGAACATGTTACAACAACGGATCCTCAAACGGGTGAAAAAAAGACAACAAAATGTTTGAAATCGAAATCATTACCAACATTATTTGATTTGGATGTTTTCTATAAAATGATTGCTTACCAAGATAAATTACAAGAATCAAATAAAATGGTCAAAAAAACAAATATTACATTTCATACATCGAATCCCGAGTTAGATGGCAAAACATTAGAACCCATATTGAAAATGAATTTGGAAAGTGGACATGTCAAAACACGTTTAGCCCCAACAGCTGCGGAAAACAAAAGTGCACAATCCTCGCCAGTGATCGCTTTTAACAATGATATGAGCACTACGCAAACCATGGATTCTAGAAGACAACAGCCAAAAACTAATAACAACAATAATTCATTGTTTGCAGCTAATAAAACATCTTTCAATCATCATGATAGTGTAAGAAGCTTATTTTATAGTCCTGCAATCACTGGAAGCTTTAGTTGTTCCTAAAAAATTCTTTTGTCGACTCATGTTTGGCAAAATATTTAGTGTATTTGACAAATTTCTGCTTTGCTTTGCATTTACACAATGATATTCTTCTATTAATCTGTTTATCGGTTAATAATTCAGGATGTTTTTATTTTCATTTTTAGTTTGAAAGTAAAGCAACTAATCGTTGTTTTGTGGAAGGATGCGGGCATGCGTATGTGGCACGTCGACATCGGGTTCAATTATATAAAATTCCACGTGATCCTGAAATGGCACGAAAATGGCTGGATGCCTGTGGTTCATCAGCACCCGTCTCTCCGATAACAAGCACATTTAAAGTGTGTCGTGAACATTTTACACCGATGGATTTTGAAGGTCCGACCACATTACGATTAGACGCTGTTCCATCACAATTTACAGCACATTCACGTTTATTAATGAACAAACAGTCACCACAACAATCAACAATTAGACAACAGTCTTATAATGAAACTGTGAACAGTGACATAAATAATCATAATAACAATAATAATAGTAATATTAGTAATAATAATAATAATAATAATAATAATAATGCAAAACGATTTCGCTCAGATAATATAGCTTCAATACGTCCTAAACAAAATTCGGCCGATGCGAAACGCATACAAAAAACAACAAATACACAATCATACGTTAATTATAATCAAACACGTTTTCGTTCGTCAAAAAATAGTCATTTTCCTCAGATTACGTCTCAATATCAACCGTTTAATAACTCACAACAAAAACAAGAGTTTTCTCCTCCTCTCTCACCATTACCTAGACGAGAGAGTATCGAAGAAAGTATTAAACAAATGATTCGAGAAACGAAACAACAAATTGATGTGGAATTAAATATGAGTTGTAGTGAAGAACAATTAACAGATGCACAATTATCACATTTTCCTGTAAAAGTAAGTCAATTGGATATTATTTAAATTTTATACTTTCAATATACAAATGCAGTCATTATAGTTTTATTTTTGTTGTAAATTCTTGTTCACTTGCATCTGAAAATAATCTTGTAGTTCGTTCTTTTTAATTTATTCTAGGTTCTTGATAAAATAACAAATTCTGCGAAAGCACAAAATGTCCGTTCTCGTCCACCACCTCGTCAATCTACACCTAACTACTATCAACAGCATTCAGATATATTTGATGACGATGGAATGGATGACATAGTAATGGATTATGACGATGATATAAGTGGAGATAGTGGACTGAATGACAAAGACTGGTTAAGTCAAACACAAGATGATCGTTTGCCATGGTCAAAACGTGGTGGACGCGGTAGTCACTTTGGTCACAATCGTGGCGGCAACGCAAATTCTTCATATCGTGGTGGTGGACGTGGTTCTGTTCAGAGTGCAAATCGTTCGCGTGGTCATTTGCTCAAAACACAATTTGTAAAACCAGAAGCAGCAAGAAAAGGTACCCATTTTATACATAATTCTTTGCCATGTTCTTTTGCATTAAAATTATTTTTTAGCGAGTATCCCATTTTTACAACCAGCATTCGACCATCCAACAGCACATTACCCAAGAGATCAACCGTTACCAAGAATCAAGCCTGGATCAGTCAGAACAAGAGGTAACTGATCACTGTTGACTGCAATTCGTCTCAGCTAATGATCTTTATTTTATTTTCAGAAGAAGGGCTTGAAGTTGAACTTGGTATGTTTAATGCGGACTCTAATTTGTATGTATTTTATATACTATTTATTTTGTTTTTAGAACAAACTTATCGACGAGCGTTACCGAAATATTATGGTCAAAAACCTGGTAGAACTATTGTCCTATCAGAATATGGTGATTATCGTAGTAAAGTGAGTTATTCTGTTTTATTTAATTTTTACATGCAAAGAGTAGAAGATTTTATCAACTTTGCTTCTATTGAATATAGATCATATTCGATGTTTTCTCATAGTTTCTTTAGTGTCCAGCATGCAATGAAACATTTGAAAATAATATTCAACTAATTATTCATCTATGTAAACATTTTGAAAATAAACAACAACATGACCAACAAGAACAAAAAGAAAAAGAGAGAGAAGATTTTATAAGTCCATTTAATCAAATACAAACAAAATGTGAACAATGTAGATCAGAATTTTCAAATCCTTATTATTTGTACATGCATATTGATGAAAAACATATGTTAGATTTGAATGAATATCAATGTCGTATATGTCAACAAAAACATGGATCATTGTTAGAATTGATAGCACATTTGAATTTATGCCATTGTGGATTAGAAATGCCATATTATTGTGAAGTTTGTACATTTCGAACGTCAATGTATAGCGATATGATTTATCATATTGACGAAGTAAGACTTTTTAATAAGATTTTAGATGATCTATGTCAGCCAAGTAGGAAAAACGTAGTGAGAGTCATTCGTTCACGATCAGATGGTCCATCCAACGGAGATTTCCATTTTCCTAGAACAAGATTTTCATGACATTTTTAGGATTCATTTACAAAAAAACTAACTAGCGAGTTATTTAGATATTTTTGACTATACCATATCGTATTTTTATTGCATGAACAATATTGGTCTCAAAGTCGCTCATTGAACATTTGTTGTAGAATAGTTTGGCATAAATGTTTTCTTTCTTTTTAGCTTCATAAAAATACTCGCTATTTTTTTTGTCCATATTGCTTTGCTGCAATACAATTACCAATAATGAATAATTCATTAGTTTTAAATGGTTCACCAGCGTTTAAACATTTACTCATGCATTTTAATAAAGTGGATAATGGTCGAGTAACACAATCGAAATTTAAACATTGTCGAAAATGTACATTACATGTAAGAAGTATTAAAGATCATTTAGCTCGAGACCATTTGAATATTGTTGATGGAATAAAAGCCACGTATTATGATGATATTGATGAAAGTAAGTTGAATTAGTTATTTCAAAAAATATTGTAGAATCTTTTTCAACTTGTGATTTTAGTGGAAAAACAAAGTGAAGATGAAGGTGACCTTGATGTGGGAGATTCATTCGATGAAAATATTATGCTTGAAGATAAAACATCGTCTGTTCGATACGTTGCACCATCCAAAACATGAGATCGATTATATTTTGTTTGTATTTGATTGAAAGGAGAACGACTTCTTCTTTTTTTTCTCTTGTTCTTATGGTTAATGGTGCAATAGAAATATGATTACAGCCTTCCTGTTTTATTCTCATTCTGCCTATTTCCTTTTTCCTTCTTGCGTTGTTCTTCTCTTTGAATGTACATAAATTAATTTTTGTTTTGTTTTTCTGTTATTCTTTCTGTAAAAAAGACACGCTTCATTACGGAATAGTTGGGTCTTATAGAACCGTCTCCTTTTACTCTTTTGAACAAAATAAAGACAGAAAAAAATTTACTTCATTAACTAAGTGAAAATGAAGTAAATCTACGTACAAACAGAAAAAACACTAAAAAAAAGAAAAATCTGATTGAGATCATAAACTAAAAAATTGATTTAGAAAAGAAGTAAACATAAGCTCGTAATATATTAACTTCAAGAGGTAAATATTTATTTCACCCATATAGATGCTTAGTTGACTCTTGAAGCCAAAGTCCATCTACATTGCTCGAAATTTTTTTATTCTTTTCTTCTATTCCTTACGTTAAATAGAAAAAAGAAAAATAATTCACTTGTGGTATATTAATCATGGAACAAAGAAGAAAAATTCTGACTAATAGATCAATAATTATAGATCAATTCTCGAATGTTTCAAACACGTTCGCTTAACGATTGCGTTATGATACGGAATTTTTCTTCATTTGATGTCATATGTCGCACTCTTCTCGTCAAGCTGACCAATTATTGCATATCATTGTGGATCAGGACTGGGCAAGTCTGGATTGGAAAGTTTTTCTGTCAACTCGAACTGGAGATTTTTTTGAAAGACTCGAACTTGAGTTTTTTGTGTTTCAGGTCCAATCGATTCAAGTTTTTACATAAATGAACAGTAAAATTTTCATTTTTTTCAATATGAGTATGGGATATGCAATAGAAGTTCACTTATGTAACCTTTCTGTTATAATAAGATTGATGTATTGTACGGCATAGGAGAAAAGTAATACAAAAAAGGTTTGAAAAAATTATCGGACTTGAAGGGGACTCGAACTCGCTTCATGACTTGGACTCGGTACTCCCATCTCGGACTCGCCTGGCCCTGTTGTGGATGTTGACAATTCGAGTTTTTGATTCTAATTCCTGGAGGAGAAAGTTTTCTTGCCCAATGACTGACTACTTATACCACTCAAATACTTAAAAGATTTTTTCTGGCGACATTATGGTGTACAAAAGTCTACGAACATCATATTGACGAACGGTACAGTAGCGATACGTTATAACAGCAGAACCCCATCAGATACAATCATGCTATAAAACTAACGGTTCATGTTACGCAAAAATTCAACGTTCGTAAAACATCCGAGAATATTTCCACAAACCAAAACGATGGTTTTTCATCAAAAGATTAGAAAGAAAGAGCCGTACTTTGTAGTTGCAAATGTAGAAATCCTTTTTCATTTCGTACTATATGAACGTGTATGCAGTGTCCACGTGTTTAAATTAAATGAATATTTCATGTGAATAATAGTTGCAAAAGTTTCAGGTATTCGGCAACAACAGTTTTTTTCGTATTCTCAAGAATTCAGAAAATTTAGCGTGAACAAACAAACATTAAACAACTTTCGATCTTGAAAGTTTAAAAGTATTATCAAAATAACAATACAAGAGCGTTTAATTCAACTAGTATAAATGAGAATTTTAATACAACGCAGATCTTCAATTACATTTCTGATAAAAGTCCTGCCATTATCAGCTAAAAATAGAGTTACGTAAACTTGAACTTTGTCAACTGCTTTTTTATTCTCTTTTTCTCATTCGATAAAAGATACGAACGAAGAGAAATGTGCCAGGCTGGGCGGACCCTGGGAACGAGTCAGCAACGCACAGTTTTTTCTCCTTTGTCACCTCTCAAAATCGGTTCGTGTAGCAGTGTTTTCACCTTCAATGTCGATCGATATTCTTAAACTTACTTTCTCACAAAACGCCATGCTTTTTTATTTCAAAGCAGTTACAATCATACACACAAAAATAAATCGAAAATTTCATGTTTATTTTTCTACAGAACAGACAACGATAATATCGCTTACTATTTGTAGGTCTAGATTAGACCGTCGTTGAGCAATGATCGCGCCTGTAACCGACAAAACGTTTCTCTCTCACGAATCTCGCACTGCCAATTTTGAGATCGTCTACCGACCCGACCCCGAACAAAAGAAAATTTTCCTCCATAGAGTCCGTCAGAGCTTCCCAAAAATTCTTTCAGAAAATGCTGTCTTTCTCACAAAACATAAAGACTTGTTAGTGCAGAGCTTGAAAACCTAATGGTAAAACTCTAAAGCAGGAACTGTTGATCGTAAGAGTCGCTTTGTATCTTATGCAAAACCTACTAATCAGAGATGAGCAGCTCCGACTCCGGAGCGGTTGATGAAAATCACCGAAGCTGGAGTAACCGTTTTATGAGAGTCATGAAGTCGGAGTGGAGCGCTTCGTAAAAACTATGGAGCTGGAGCGGAGTTGGAGCAGCTCTTTCTTTTAGCGCTCCACCAATAGCTCCATTTTCCCCTTCAAGTTCTGTATACGACGATAGATCCATCAGTCAGAGGAAAGCTTATCGTTGACTATTCATCGTAGTCGATATTTCTTTGTCAGTCGCAGTAGTGTACCTTTCACATCCGCTCCTGTGGAACGTGTGTTTTCTTCCGGTGGGATGTTCAGGCGATCCTATGTCAGCCAACTCTCTAAGAACATACTCGCTATGTTGACTCTATTCAAATGCAATCGACACTCCCCTATTTCCACTAGTCTTATTCCATGCTGTAGATCAAACTGTGGTCTAAAACTATTGTGCATAAAAATTTTCGTGTTGATCTTTCGTATATGCTGTGAAAGAGAATATGAACCCCACAGATCATTGCAAAGCTACTTCAAAGAAATGCGAAAAATGTGCTTTTCTAATAAGATGAAAATTATTTTTAGCTGGAGCGAAGTCGGAGCAAAGGTGGAGCGAGCGGGAGTGGAGTTAGAGCGGAGTTGGAGCTGAGGTGGAGCGAAAATTTACTGGTTGTAGCGGAGCTAGAGCAGAACGGATGCAGAAACTTTCTTGTTGGAGCGGAGTCGGAGCGAAGCGACTTCAAAAATGCCTGAAGCGAGAAAGAGTCGGAGCTGCCCATCTCTGACTACTAGTTCATAGTCTTTTCGAAAACAATACTATTGAAACAGCTGATATACACAAAATTACGGTAGTCATTTTTAAATAGCTGCGGTATTGTCGGAGTGATCAGGCGCCGGAAATTCAAAATTTCAGCGAAATTTATTTTTGTGATATTTATACATGATTGGATAAAGCTCGTCGAACTGAATCAGAATGTGTAACGTTCCGAAAAAAGTTTTTGAGGATGAAAATTTCCAAAAACTGAAAAACGGCCTAACGTTAATAAACGAGCGCATATCTTTAACCCAGTGACTTTGGGAGCTATGAAGTTTTTTATTCTTATTCTACGTGAAAAACTAAATCTAAAATGTAGTTAACTACATTTTAGATTTAGTTTTTCATGTAGAATAAGAATAAAAAACTTCAACGGCTTACAATAATGTTTAATCTCAAATATTTTTGTAGATTTTAATATAATGGAAGTGTCATTTTAGCATGGTTGAACACGATAGATTTGTATATTTTTCTTTCACTCTTTTTTGACATCCTGTCCAATTACAAAATTTTATTCAAATGTATATTTTCTGATTTGCTTCAAAAAAAACCAATAACTAAAAATGTCACTGTTATACTGTCATCGTATTTAACAACGCTCCCGCGTCAGCTGCTCGGTTTCACATCAGCTTTATTGACCTTAAGAATTATGAATTTTATGTTTACTTTATCGATATATACTCTAACAAAGGAAAATAATAGGAAAAACACAAAAGTCAGTCATACAAATGGTCACATAGAACGTGACTAACAAAAATATGGTAAGAATTTTTTTCAACTAGCACAAAGCCTATACAAATAAAATGAATAGACACACATTGAATAGAAAAATAAGCGCACACAAATACCTATTCATGCCCATAGAAAAGTATCTACAAAACATTCAGAAAAGAAAAATTTGTTTTAAAAATATCGACACGTACATCTCGCTGCCAAGCATTCATCGAGATGTTTTGCCATTAAATCACCATTTGAGGTTGAGTAACCGCAAACACAATTCATTAAACAGGACAATGCCGTTTTTCTTACTGCTTGATCAGTTAACGGTACCGAAGCATGAACACTAGTCAAATGTTTTGCATATCCAGTCGGACATTGTGTTGAAAAAAAACATAGTCGGCAGCGATACCCATTTCTAGAAAAAAACAAAAGAAATTCTAGTAAAAATAGTCAGAAGTCAGATTGATGGCTGCTTACCTTGTATGTCTTTGTTCAGCTGTACCAGAAGGACAATCAAAACAGATTACATCTGCTTTAATTGTTGACAATTTTGAATCTTGTATCGATGTAGAAGACGAATACTGTTTACGACTGAATTCATTTGAATAAGATTTGGTATCATAGGATGATGTATTTGGGGATATTCTAGGCAATGGTGATGCTATATGATTTGTTCGTCGTCGAATAGTTGCCATTGGAACTTGAGATCGTTCATCTACTTCGTTTTTCATCGAAGAACCAAAACTACGATTATACGCTGCAAGTAGAACATACAAGAGTTATATAAAACATGAGTATAACCAAAACCAGTTCTTTTACATGTATTAGTATTTCGAATATCATCATAACTATCAACAGAATATAATGGTGTTGTACGCGGTAATAAAAATTGATTATTGTTGGTATTATTACTATTATTCTCAGCTATGGCAGTATGATCACGCGTCAAATGTTCTTTTATCGATTTCACGTGTAAAATACAGCGCCGACAATGACGAAACTTTGATTCCTTTGTTTTGTTTCCTTCAATACGATTGAAATGTAAAAGAAGATGTCGAAATGCTCCACCACCATTTAATAAATTTGAAAATTGCATAGCAGGCAATGGAATCGTTTTTAAACAATAACTGCAGAAAAAATAGCGTGTATTTTTGTGTGTCTGAAAAAAATGAGAAAAGAAAAACCATACCGAGATCTGTTGAAATGAGTCATATCTTTAGAAGTTCCCCTACGTGTTAATGTAGTTTATCCTTACTTCGAGATTTAGAAATTCTCAGTCCCATTATGATCTATAATTGAAAGTATAAGAAAGTTCAAAATGACTTACTTCTCGAATATGATGTATCATATCGTCATACATTGATGTTCGATAACCACACAATTCGCAATAGTACGGCATTTCTAATCCTGCATGTATAAAATTTAAATGTGCAAATAAATCTATTAGAGTATGATGTTGTTGATCACAAATACGACAACGAAATTCTCTGATTTGTAACATATGCATTTGATCTTCATGCATATACAATTTAAACGGTGTAGAAAATTCTTCATGACAAACTTGACATTGTAACATCGTCTTATCAAATGGACACAGATAATTAATATCTTCTAAATGTGAACACATATGTGAAGTGAGTGTTATATTATTCGGAAATTGTTCGTCGCACACAGAACATTCTAAATAGATGAATAAATAAATAAACAAAGGGTGAATAAAAATCTTTTAGAACTACTTACTAACTCGAAAATCTCCATAATCAGTTGGATCGTTGCCTTGACCATTTTTAACACCATAATATCTTGGTAAAGCTAGTGCATAACTACGTTCTAATTCCATTTCAAGTGAATCGTTTCCTCCTTTTCCACGACGACCAGTGGAAGAATATCTCAGTGATGAAGTAAATAATTGTGAACGAGACAACGGATTGTTATCAAAACGAGATGGTTGAGGACGAACAAAATGTGTTGTGGCTGAAAACAAAAATCGACCACCTCCACCACCTCGTCCACGTCTTCCTCCTAAATCAAGAAAGAGAAACCTAAACATGAATCTAAATAAAGATATTTGCTCCGTCATATACCACGACCACCTCGATTTATTCGTCTTTCTTGATACGGTTCATAGCTTTCATCATCATCCGACGATTCACTCGGTACAAAATCTTCATCAGGATCATCTAATTCTTCTAAATCTTGAACTTGTAATTCTTTCACCAGTGATGTACGTTTTCGAACAGCCGGTAACGGTAGTGGAGCTTTTGGATCATATGCCTAAAGATAAAATGAGAAGAATATATCAAAAACATTTTAGAATAATTAAGCCAAACAGACAACGAACCCACAGGATATTCCTTGAAGTGTTGTCTGAGTATATGCATTTTTTAGTCAGCGAAGCTTTTTATCTATGGCGCATCCGTAGACGCACGAGTGAATTACCGAGAATTACGTAAAAAACTTTCTTATATGAATATACAAAATTCATTTCACTAGAACTGGATAAAAGACACCTACTATTATAGACTTACTCTTGTTGGGTAACAATGTAATTGAGCTTCGGTTAATGGTTCATCCTGACACACTAAATCGAGTTCATGAGTTATTTCTTTTGTTGATTTAATCACATTTTTAATTTTTTGTTCAACATATGTTTGTGGTTGATCACTAGATGTAGCATATCTCGAAGATGTATTGTTTAGATTATTTTTTGTCGTAAATTTCATTGCTTTTGGTTGTCGAGAACTAATAGAATTTCCAGCATACTGACTAGGAATAGTTGGCTCGGCTTTCTGACGATTGTTTAATGACGAAAAATCATTTTCTACATGGTAAATTGTTGATCCGCCTATTCTATCATTATTATTCGTATTGTTATTTGTATTCGATGTTTTTCTGTCAAAAGTATGCTTCATTGCTTTTTGTGATTTTCGCTGTTGTTGTTGCTGCTGCTGTTCATTTTTGATAATCTGAGAGGATAACTGATTTCCAGACAAACCATTTGTTTTTAAATTTGAATTGTTGACGTTTTGATAACCATATGTATTTCCTTGTTTCATATACAACATCCTAAATAACGAGTAAATAAACACAAATAAATAAAACATATAGTAAGATCGTAAAAACCCAACAGTAAGACCGCTTCAATCAACCATGGATGATAAAAATCAAAGATTTTTACCGCTCTGTAGTACTAGCAAAAAACGTTTGATAAGAATAATGCTGAAATAAAAAGTTGTCGTTTTATACCCTTCCATAAAGTAGTTTGTAGAACATTAATGTCTGTTTTATCTTTGAGAAATTCATATCTTTCAGAAACATATAATTCGCTGTTTTAAACTAAATTGTACACATTCTGCATGTCTAAACAGATCTTTTAATCAAAACCGACTCAGAATCAGTAAGTGAACCTTCATGAGTTTTGATATTTTCAGTATTTTCCAAAAAACATATGTCATGCCATTGGAAATTCTCACCTCCGATTTTCAATAATGAAAAAAGTTTGAGTAGATAACGTAATAATATTGCTAAATTTATTTGTGTGAAATGCACAAGTGAACAATGTTGCGTCGCTCTAATTTTAAAGGATGAAAGAACAGAAAACAATGTCACTCGCTTTTGTAGAGGACAGCAATAGAAACACCTTTTGCAACGATTCTCAATGGCGGCAAACAAGAGAAAGAGAAAAAATATGATAGGTCAATATTTTGTTCAATGATATTGATAGATGGGAGTGATCAAGGCCGTCCCTTAGTTTTTTTACGTTTCTGAAGATGTCGCCGAAGTATTGATTTTTATCTTTGAGACTGCTTTTATGACAATACTAGTGCAAGCAACCAAAGAGGAAAAAATGAAGTACTGTTTAGCTCATCCTTCTAGGAAACGTCTTGGTAATTAATACATCTCTCTTTTTGTATTTTTGTTTAAAAACAGTGAAGGTTGAGAAACCAGCTAGAAAGAAATAAAAAGAGTTGTAAATGTGGCATGTTTTCTTGCAAAAGTAACAAATGTTTGGTTTTGGCAACATGGGGTACTACTCCTGATATTACTACGATTGACACAGAGAGCTTAGAGCCATAGGGAGATATAGATAATTAGTAAATTAAGATGTAGAAACGAAGCTCAGACCTCACGCAAAAAAAATTTCGTAGTTTCGACATGGGACAGGACTCCATCCTTGGTGTGAGTTTATATAGAAAGTCTTGCGCAAACCTGTCGATAACGGCTTGGAACTATGTACAGACAGTTTAAACAAGCACCTGAGCACATCGGTCTTCAAATCTATATGAATGTATCCTCAGTAGAGATGTTAGTCGATTACTTTATCGACGGCGGCGTGTCAAATTGAAAGCTTTATTGGCGGCGTCGTTGAAAAACTAAAAGAAACTCAAGTTCGAGTCTTTCAAAAAAATCTCCAGCCCGAGTTCACCGAATTGAATTGTATCCTCATTAGAGGTGTTAGCCGATGTCATTGCGAGACATATTCCGTTTTAAGAAGGACAAATCATTCAAACACCTGGTAACTCTGCTAATTACTCGCCTCTGGCGCAAGTGAGAATGGACATGGACAAAGTTCATTTTCAGAAAAAAACTTTGACTTTTTTTGCCTCCCCAGTAGCATGATTTTGTATGTTTTTGTTTCTTTTCTTTTTCATCGTCCATCATCTATTTGTGGCTACTAAAATATAAATCAATCTTTCGGTTCCATCAATATCTCTCTCTTACACTCTCACTCAGCCTACCACCAGTAGATGTGTTCGATTCTCGGTTCCCATTAAAAACCAAAACCGCAGTTCACTTATTTTCGATTCTTCATCCGGAATCCGAACCGCGATTTTTTTAGACGGTTCTTGTTTTTCGAAACCGTGACTTTTTTAACCAGAGATGCTATCGAAAGTTAATTTTTATCCATAAGCATCAAATTCTAGCTATGTTTTTCCTTTACATTATTACTGTGATCTTGTTACGTTAGCTCAAATTTCATTTAGATTCAATTTGTTGCCTCTATATTGTTAAAGAAATATGAATAATTTAACAACAGAAAATATGGCATTCAATCCGTTGTGTTGTGTGCTATTAGTTTAGCAGTAAGCGTTCGCTGTTTACGACAGTTCTTGTATGTAATTATTTTGTTTTTGTCTGTTGGATTATTTGCTTATCTCATCCTGAGAAAATCGTTTATTGTTGTTAAAACATTTATGAAACTTATTAAATAACAAAAATTTAGTTACATTCAGTATTCTGATGTTAATACTGATTGATTTTCTTTTGTTTAATAGCATTTCATATCGACTTTGATGTTAATTTAACAGTTGTGTCCAGATATTTTATTAATATTAATCAGTATCTCAAGTTGTTGTTCACTGATCGAAACATAGAACTCATGAAACTGACTTTTTTTATTAGTTGTCTTTTGCATATTAGCGATACAATCAATTATTTTAACAAAATAGTTTTTGAATTATTGGCATACTGTAGATTCATACACCAAACGTAGATACAAAACGAAATCTATCTGAGGTTATTTTATAATATGAGTTGCTGAACGGTATATTGAAAATACTCCTAAAATTATATGATTCTATCGGCAATGTATACACTATGTTATTATTTTAATTTTTGAAACTATTATCAGACTTCATGTATTACATTTCATGAAAATAAGAACAACAAAATCCGTCACATCAATGTTGAACACTCGACAAGCTCGATCAATGCTTAATAATAGTTCGCGTTTGAGAACTATAGATGGTGATAAAAGATAATTATTAGATAATTTATATTTATAAATAAAATACAATGCATACAGAAAAATATTTACAAAATTTAAAAACATGCGTATTATTAAATATGATTGGTTATCTATACGTTCATCACTGTTCTCTGCCCCTATTGCATCAATAATGGCAGCGATGGAATTAATGTTGGTTTTCGTGGATGAGCATGTTGAAATGTATGATTTTCATAAACCAGAACGGTAACAGGAACATGTCGACTATGAGCAGCTTGTTGTAATGCTTGCTTTCGTTTTGCTTTATATCGACGGTTTTGAAACCAAATTTTTACCTGAGTTTCGGATAACTAAACAAAAACGAAGAGAAAATTAGAAGCTAGTTTTTTAATAAGTTTCTTCAAAAATTACTGTTAAACATTAATAAATATCGTATCGAAATCAGTTTTCAATACTATTTTTACTCTTTCAGAGAATTGTCTCGGCCTAAAATGTTTAATGCACTTTTCTACTTCAGACAGCTAACGGTTGTTGAACATAACACAAGTTTCAGAAAAAGAAGTTGATTTTTATTCATAAATATCAAATTAGAGATGTGCAACCTGATCCGACTCGAAGGCTGTGTACGGGTACGAAGTTGTCGGTTGCGGGTCGTGTACGGATTTCGTTTTTTCTAAATTTACCCAAAATCCGGAAGGTTTTAGTCGAAAACTACAAAATTTTAGTGAAAATATACAAGATTTTAGCTAAAATACATTAAGTTTTACAAGAGTTACTTGACAACGTTATGATAACTTGACATCTCCAGCCAAACAACACAGGTAAGATGAATATGGTCATTCACAGGTCCTTTCGCTTAAAAATTTTATTTTTTGCCACAGTCAGATATCTCTGGAGAGTTCTGCGTAACAAGTAACGTGCATCATGCTGATACACTGGATCCCATGACAGAAACTTCTTTGTGACAGCCGGCAAGCCAAAACGAACAGGACGTTTTCTTCCGAATCTTCATTACAATTTGCTTGGATCACGAAGAAAATCATAGATCTACTGGTTGTAATGTCAGAGATCTCTTATAGGAAACTGAGTGGCATTTTTTAGTGGATCCGGACACAAACCAAACGCCCATAGTATACTGAGGTTTGAAGTATCCATGCCTAGTCCGCCTGAGATTCGAAAAATTCAGCAGAATACGCTAGAGAGTTGAAAAAATTTCTCACTTGTCCATCTGGCATTCGGAAAAAAGTGTTGCGTTGTTTTTTTGTTGGAAGGTACAGAAAGCTGCGAGCGGCCTCGAATGACAGTAGACACCTAAATCTAAAATTTGATCCGCGGCGATTTTTGAATTTCTCTTGCGTTCATTTCCTACATGTATCTTAAGTTACTCCGACCTCTGAAAATAACCCTAACTCGGCGGAATATTTTCCACTTATCTCTGCACAGAAAACAAAAATCACTGCGGATCAAACTTTAGATAAATGTTTTAGCTTCAAAATAAAAAAAGAATGAAGGTTTCACGACAAATCGTCTAGGAGGAGATACAACTTTGCTGCGCCAATACCATATTCTAAGCACTGACGTCATTACTTCATTAATTATAGTTCAGCGCCTTTAGCAAAACTAGTATAACTCTACAAGACGAAGTCGGACAAACCTGCTGGACATCTCATTCTCATCAGAACACTCTGCTCAATATAGCATCATGTCTGTTAAAACGGACAACCTTAAAAATTTTAATTATAATGTGAAATTTAGAAAAAGGTGATTTTTAGGGCTTTTAGAAAAAATTTTCAGAAACCTCCAAAAACATTGAATTTTTGGTAAACTGAGATGGATTTTGAAAGCGACGCTTTGGGATACTGAACAGTATGGTTACTTCAATTTTGAATTTTTACTTGCATTTGTTCATGCACGTTTATCACATGTGTTTCTCCAGTAAAACAAGAAGAACACGTCAGTGTACTTGCAGTCTCATACCACTCAGGGAGTTCGCACATTTTTTAACAAACAGACATGAAGTCGGACGCAAATTACGAGCAAAAGAAAAGAAAACCATAGTAACGTTTGAGACCCTTTCTTCTGAAGCGAAGATAAAAAGTTTTTAGCTGGAAACCGAAAAGGAGAAAATTTTTAGGCATAAGTCAGGTATGGGTCGGGTACGCGTCGGAAAACGGTACTAGTGCACATCAAATTCGAACTGTGTTTTTTTCTTTACATTATTACTGCGATATTGTTTTAGCTCAAATTTCATTTAAATTCAGTTTGTCATTAATTCCATCATCTGTAGAACAGTGAAAATAATGTTTAATATTGATATGATCTTTATTTTGAGTGAAAACGTAAACTGGCATCGTTTATCGAAAATCAGTAGTTCTAGATGGTTTGATATTTTCTAGCGCTAAAAAACACATCTTTATTTCCTTTTGGCATATGCCGTGTGATGAAGCATGAAAAGTTGTGTAACTATCTAGGTTTTTTACATTATTTTCACATTGAAGATAAGCATTCCCAGGATATCTGACTATGTTTAATCCATGATGATATCAAAAATTGGAATTATAAAAAATGTGGAATTGCTATCAGACTGCGAAAATTCCATTTTTTTACAGAAAATAATCTTTGCTTGGGTTTGAGCACTTTAATCCTGTTCAACACACTTCAATGCATTTATTCCACTATATTGACAAGAAACTTCTGCAAATACCTTGAAGCAATCTCCTGCAAGCGCAAGAAAATCGATACATAAATTTTAATTAGCTAAGTTGTGGAACATGATTTAGATACGCTCATGACATATTTCCTATTGAAAAAATTAAATATGTTAAGAAAAGTTGGTGACCTTCCTTACGCATTTTCCTCCTTTGTTCCAAATACTTACATTTAGCATTGATGAAAGTTCGGCTCGTTCACTACTTGATAAATATTTTTGTTGTCCAAATCGGCGTTCTAATTCAATAACCTGAGCATGCGAAAATGCAGCACGTGATCGTCGTTTTGATTTTTTAAGTACGGTGCCATTTGCCGATACATCTCGCATATTCATAAAAATTGTTTTATCATTTTTATTAGTACTTGTGTTTCTACTCTCCTGACAATGATCTAAAAGAGAAATCAGAACAAACCGTGCAATATTCATGTTTCCTTCCTACTCTTTTACCTAAATAAAAACAAAACAAAAGTTTTTGTTCCTCTTTGATTTCTCTGTTCTTGTTTTGAAAGCAGTAATCCGACAGAGCGTTTCATCTGGTTTTAAGTAAGACTCATCCAACTGAAAAATCTAGATACTCTTACGGGAGTATCTCGTTAAAAAAGTAACAAAAACTGATATTTGTTTGTGTCGAGGAAGTTCAATGCCGCTTGATGTAAATATCAATACAAAGCTGGAAAATGGTGAGATAGTTCAATATTTACATCGACAGATCATACGATTCCTAGTAGAATGTTGGACGATGTATCGAGCAGAATATCGGTCGAGCTAAAGAATCTATATCCCTAAGTTACACAAGCGTGAGGCAAAGATATCTAGATACAACAATATCTATTTACATTGAGAGAAACATTTATCTTTATTTAGACGTATCTAGATATGTTGATATTTGTCTTCATACCAAAACAACGTTTAATCTAGTTCATGCTAGATTTAATGTGTCTATATCCATCTCACGTTTCCAATAATAGAGAAAGCAAACTGTCGATATATATATATGATTTTAGAGCGAATTTATGTCAGCTAAAATTTTGGGTTTGAGTCTCAAACGTGATGTCCTTCACTAAAATTTTTTACGGAAAGCTGTGTCTATGCCTGGAATTACTTAGCATCCGCGTTTAGTAGGAACTGTCCGTTGAAACGTTCTTTCTCATAAGATCTATATTTATTGAAAGTCTGTCACAGGATACCAGAGCGTTGCGCTACTTACCATGATAAAATGATTCTTTATTTTGTTTGATAAGAAGTTTTTCTGATTTGTGTTGCTGTTGTTGGAGTAATGGAAACGAAATAGGAGATTTTCTTAGTAGTGATTCAACATCGAACGCTTTTCCGATCATAAGTGTTTGTTGTGCTTCACGTTAACTCGTGGAGCTCGTATTACACAAAAAAATGATATTCTGATAGGATTTTGAAAAAATAAATGTAAATGTACTTTACAAAGAGTTTTATCCTGTAGGCGTACTTTAATGAAAAATAATGTTTGACTAATAATAGACATCAACCAATCAAAGTGCGATACGAACTCTTTTTTTCTATTGGTTAAGAAAAAATAGTTCTATTTTTATTCTCTTCTTCTCATTGATGTGTACTACATTTGATTATCAATCTATCTTATTCCTAATCTTTATGCATTTCATGTCGTCGTGAAAAAAAAATATAATTTCCGAAAGAAAAAAAATGGGGTTGTTCACACAGAGTTAATAGGCTTATTTGACATGTGTCTTATGCTGACAATGTTGATTAAGAAATGAGTTGAGAAAACAGTCAATTAAGTACAATTTTATTTCTGGAAGTTTTTAGTTTTATTTTGGAAAAAATTGACAATGAATAGAGAATAAATTATGGCAGGGAAACTATGCACAACCCACGGTGAAAAACGATCAACTACAATAATTGTAAACATACGTCTTTAAAACAATTACAATAACATGATAAGCTCATACAGATGGTCTTACAAAGATATATAATGGTATAATATTGTACGAACACCAAACGATAGAGGATGTAGACAATCACAGTTTGATGGGACTCTCCCAAAAGCTATAAGGCGACTGGGTATCAAGTTAATCTACATATATTTGTGAACGAATAGTATAGCAAATGAAAGATATATTAGTAATAAAAGTTCGAGTTGGAATCATAGATAATCTTTACATCTTAAAAGTGCTGATGATTCACTCTCGATTCGTCGACACTTCGTAGTAGCAGCGGCTCACAGACACGATGATTTAGAAGAACATTGATTACCTTTGAGAAATTGAAAATTTTATCATACGGTTTGTGCCAGTTGTCGAAAAGACTTACCAAGAAACAAAAGTATCTGGGATCTGGTGTTTCATGATAGAGTATTCAGCATGACAGCTTATACCCGTTATCTAGGGTATATATTTGGATTTTTTTGCATTATAGCACTTACTGAATACATATATACGGTAACATTCTCGTTTTCGCAGATACGATATAAGGGTAGCAGATCATTCAGTTGTTTAAAAAAAACACGAACATTAATTATATAATTATATTAGATAAAAGAAATAAGAAACCTGATTTATTGTGGCTCTGCTTGATGCTATTATCTATCTGTACATGAATAAAAAATAAATAAATATCAAGTATATTATTATTTACGAGTAGCATATGAGTGAGAAAGAAATTAACATAGAATCAAGTAAGAAAAATTATTTTCGGAATATTTTTATTAATTGGAGAACGGCATTGAAAAGAGAACCAAATTAAAATATAAACTGTGTGTGTATTGTGCGAGGAAGATGTAAAATTCTCCCCATCTTCGTGAGAGAAAGGTATGATTTGATCACGCGAAGACTAAAATACCAGATATTTAGTGGTATTGCACTTAGTTACTTCATACATGATAATCGTTATACATAATAATGTTACAATACGTAAAACTTTTTACAGTACTCTGTCACGTAAAAACAGAGTTTTTTAAGTTTTGTTGTAAACCTTTAGCAGGTCTTGATTCAACGGTATGTTTATTAACAAACTTTCGAACCGAATATCCATCGATTCGTCATAATCTGCTTGAAATGATGTTAACCCATACGTTACTGACGATTGCTCTGAAACATAAACGTGATGTACAGTTATAATCAAACACTCTTTGTTTATTATAGAAAAAATGTGAGCGGTTGGGTTAGTTTATTAGTTATTTTCAATTGCATAATTAGTGTATAGAACGATTACAAACATTACAGATACATCGAAAGGAACCAATAAGAGCTTGTGTAACTGGTCGGTTCGATCTATAATTATAATTTTATGGTTCGACCTTTTGAAACTTTTTCCGTACGGGTGAACAACTCATTATTTTTGCAATTATTAAGATAATGGATTCACTGGTGAAAAGGAACATTTTATATGATCTTCCAAAATCTCCGAGATACTTCTTCGAAGAGGACTAGAAAAACAGGCGAAGAAGTGATCTTGGTCAATCATTGCATCGAAAAACTTTGTCAGAAAGCAACTTTCACGTGACTAATTGTGTCCGATTTTGAAGTATTAGTTGATTCTAGAGTTATTCACACACTCGATCGAAAGCAGTAAAGTTTTTAATAGGATCTTACCATTATGTTGACAGATTTTGCACGCTTAATATTCATCATCAAATTCAAAGTGTTTTTGAATTTTTGGCTAGTTCGTCCGTATTTCTCAAAGCCAAATTAGTATTTTTTCGCATTTTCACTGACGTTTCTCTTTAGCTAGTCTCTATAATAACTAATCGTTTTTCGTTCTAACAAATTTGATCGAAAACTTAGGAGCGTTTTTTATTTTGTTCTTTATAAGTGATGTGTGCTCAAACAGGATCTTTCACTTAATG